GAATCATATATTAGAAGGAGATGGAAAGTGACGTCAGAAGGCTGAACTCAAAATTATCAAAACACATCATGAGAAGTCCATCAATTTTTGTGCAGCATACCTGGCTTGAAGAAGATTGACAATCCGAAGTCTATCGTCTTGAGGGGCGAATCCTCCTGTTCATTAACGAATAGAAAATTCTCGGGCTTAAGATCTCGATGCATGACCCCAAGGGAATGGCAAGCTTCCACAACACCGACTATAGTCCTGGCAAGTTGAGCTGCTTTCCTTTCAGTGTAATGCCCCCTCTTTACTATCCTGTCGAAGAGCTCACCTCCTGCACACAATTCCATGACCACATGAACTGCCACGGAATCTTCATATGCCCCTTTGATGGATATCACATTAGGATGCCCCGCCAAGTGATGCATTATCTGTATTTCCCGTCTCACGTCCTCGACATCGTCCTTTGTCAACAATTTCCTCTTCGCGATGGATTTGCAAGCGTACTCTTGACCAGTTGCCTTCTCCCTGCAAAGGAATGTAGTGCCAAACTGACCGTGTCCAAGCTTCCGCCCCAAACTGTAGTACTCCTTCAAGCGACCGGTTTTTGTTCGTAACACAGAATTTGCCATGAGCCCCGTGCTCGAAGGCCTCTTCACATGGAGAGATTTCTTGGGTCGTGCCGGCGCTGCTGGTTTGACATCCTCCTTTTGTCTCGAGGGCTGCGGCACTTTGATCTCTACAACGCATGTCGCTTGTCCCGTTGCTTTAGTATCTTCCTTTTGCTTCGCGACCTGCTCCACTTTCGGCTCCTCCTTCACTATTACAACGCGCATCGGGGGCTTATCCTGAACAGACAGAGGAGCTTCTCTGTCCTTACTGACGGACGTCGATCGATCGGTAGTCCCTCCATGACCATCCATATTATCGCTCGATCGATACCAAAACACCGAGTTCGAGATGGACTGAAAGAAACCATCTCTAGAAACTCTCGAACCGACGCAATTATTTCCCATCTATAACAACAGCTGATAAGTATCAATGACTAACCGCAATATACTCCCGACTTTGCGCTGCAAAATTGTCTGCACACCACCTCAGGCCCATTCCCCTATCAAACGGTCATTGAACCGGCAACGCATATATAAGAACTCCCGCAACAGGTGGCTTTCATCGACCAGACCAGAGGACCAGCTCGACCGAAGCCAATGCGGGTACCCAGTAACAACCTCGGCTTGCAGCCACAACAAGCAATGCGCATAGTACAGCGAGCTACCTCGGAAACGACGCGGCAATTTCAACTCTCGCAGATCCCAGTTGTGACGGAAAACGACATGCTCTATTCGTAGACGAAACTCGAACGGAGAAAGAAAAAGGGCGGTCCAAATCTTCAAAAATAACGATTCCTCCAGGATAAGTACATCCCGCAGCGATCAACCGGGGCAGTCCCTTTATACAACACAGCCGATCAGCAAATCCTACAGAAGAAAGGAACGTGGTCTCTGCCGCCACCAAGAAATTCCAAAAAAGGCACCGCGAAGAATTCCACGAGCTGCGAAGCTTCGAGGAAACCCGCCGAGCTACTGAGATTGACGGGTTCAGAGAGACTCTAAACAAGTGGAGAAGGGGAGAGAGAGAGAGAGATAGACACGAAATGTTCAGCAGATGGGGTCGAGCTCGAGGGATTAAAGAAATGGACGACTGAAGAAGGGAGGGTGGGACTCGGCCTCGGCTTTATAGCTCCATCGATGATGGGTCGATGATGATGATGATGATGATGAGGAGGAGGAAGGGTGGTAGGGTTTTGGGGGAGGGCTGGACGTTCCCGCGTGGGGCGTTGATTTTCCTGCTCGCTTCCCTTCGTCGCCATTTCACACGCGAAAGGTGGGAACTTGAGGAAATCCCAAGGAAAGTGCCAAGAGAGAGAGAGAGAGAGGTTACAGGTTTTTCCGTTGGAATGCTTCAAAAGGGCGAAGACGCGTTCGACGTCGTTGTCATATTTGTTTTTTCCCTTTAACGTTGATCGCATCGCTGCCGTGGAAATTCCGGAATCGCGGATTCAGTGGGCCCCCGCCGGGACGTTGGACGGCTGAGATTTCCCCGGCCGGGGCATTTGGATGGGTCTCTGCGTTCGTTCGCATTGTACCGTGTTTGCCTTGGACCGGCGAGACGCCGAGAAGTTGGCGCGCTTTGGATACCGCCGGCCCGTGCCGGCGGATTTCAGATTCACTCCGAATTTATTCCTTTAATTGGAGTTTTTCTTCTTTTTTTTTGTTGCAATTTCGTCCCTCGGGAGATTTCTCCCCTCTTTGATTTCGCGGACGATATAATATCTTTATATATTCATGTGGTATCTCTTTACATATCGAGAATCTATCTTTCGAGTGCGAATCCACTCCATCAGTCAAATTTCGCCTGCCCTTTGTACGCATAAGAGCGGTGTTGAGACTCATAATCTGATAAGTGAAGGGAGACTATAAGAATATAAAAGAGTATGTAAATCTCAATTACCAAGCGATGTGCGATATTTCGATACTCTTTTAGGTGCATGTTGGACTTTTCAAATACTCACGTATATCCAATGTAATATGTACATACATACATTTTTCTTTTCTTTTTGGTCAGATACATACATTATTTAGAAAGTTGTCTTCATCTGCGTTAATATTCTTAATTCGAAGGAAACTTCTGATGATGGCAGACCAATGAATTTGATTCCGAACTTCTGAATGACATCGATCTCCTGACTTGGAAGTTCCTATCCTCTTGATTCCTTGCACCGAGCCCCTACAGACCCTTGAAGGGTTGTTAGACAGACCAGCCACTCGCCGCGGTCCAAGTCCAACACATCGTAAAAGACGGATTCCTCGCGAGTTGGTTCGGAACCGGTCTCTCAAGCTCCGTTTGTTTCGACCGAACTGTCTTTTCCAATCGCCAAGCGCCACGTGTCTCTGTATAAGTCATCATGAGACGGTCCTTGGAATACAGAGACAGACTCGATGGTGGTTGGCCGGACGGATGGGGCAAGGGTCCAAAGCGAGGCTCTCAATTTGACGTCGTCGCTCGCCCCTGACCCTCAGCCATCAGCCACCGGGTCAAAGTCAAAGAGATCTCCCAAGTTGCTGCCGCTACTGTGCGGACGCTCCCACCGTCCTTACAGTGGGAACGACCCCCTCCTAGCCGTCAGAATAGATTACCGCCGCCCGCCACCTCATCCTTACTTTTCCTCCTTGACCTTATCTCATGGCTGCATTCTTCTCGTGAAATCTCCCAACTCCAATCCACATAAAACGACTCGTTTGACTTTCGTAGAACGCGATAGCGAGTCAACTCCTCCCAACTCCAATCCACATAAAACGACTCGTTTGACTTTCGTAGAACGCGATAGCGAGTCAACTCCCGAGACCCGTCATCGCAATTTCGCCGGAGACGAACCGGGGCTGCCCGGAAGAAAATTTCCGGGGGGAGCATCCGTAAAAGAAGATCACGTGGCCCGTGTGCGAAACGCCGATCTTTTTGTCGACCCGACTTTAGGGCGAATTTTGTCCCGAAATGCAAATCGAGGACTGTTTCTATCAACCATTTTTGGGCCCGAACGTGATTTGGTCAAAGGAAGGCAAAAGTGGAGAAGCAGCACTCGGTAAACGACATCGTGGGAATTCTTTAAAATAACAAGAAAAGACATCATGGGACACCACCACTCGCTAAACGCTCGCCAAGCAAGAACGTGCGACCAACGAGGCTTAATCCCCGAGGTTTACTGCACTAATCTCGATTGGCCAGATGTGTCGGGCTGATGTTATGTTTCACCATCCGGAGGCGAGTGCCTTTTAATCCAATAATGGTCCTAATCACACCCACTAAAGGCGCCGTCGACGCGACAGGGACAGTGGAAGGTGGGGGCGAAACCGGCTCCGTCGCCGAAAGTAAACAGATTTCACATCACATCATCTCGAAGACGACGGAGGGGAGAAGGAAAGGTTGTGTGTGGGGGAGGAGGACCAATTGAAGAATGTTCGTTGAAGTTTTAAAAGGTGTTGGAAAGTCATGGGAAGATAAGGGGGGGAGGGTGGGGGGTGGGATTAGAAAATAGAAATGCAAATTGACAACAGACCTCGCTTAAGTTAGTTCTAGCGTGCAATTGAATTTGACAAATGAACATTGGAAACTGTAGTGAACTCAATTGCATTCCATATGTGTGCCCGGAAGATTACACGCTCGGTCTGCTAGAGAACCGGTCGGTCGAAAATTGGTTTAACTTACGAATTCAAATTTTGGGCAATTTATAGCTTTTCTCTTTCCTTTTTTCAGTGGCTATTATCAAGGACACACCTGCCGATAAGATAAGGAAAAGTCAAGTCCACTCCATTAAAGTGAACCATTTATATCGAAATGAAATGAACTCGTGATCTAATGATATATTATCGTACGTGTTGATTAAATTAGAGATAGATATATGCATTTTCGATTCGGACTGTCGAAAAATTTTCGTGCCTAAAATTAGTTCTCTGAATAGAAGACTTCTAAGGATTCATCGGAGCACAATATTATTTATAAAAGAAGGAAGGAATTCAAATTGTTTGGTCGAATCGCACAATCATTTGACATAAGAAATGCAATCAATAATTCAATCATTAAATCATATGAAAATGTTCAATATCGTTTTTTCATTAATTCAAGATCAGGGATAGCATTAAACATTTTTATATAATTCAAGGATTACATTGAACTAATTAAAAATTCAAGAATCACATTGTATATTGGATTAAAGTTCATGGATCATAATGAACAAATTCAAAGTTCAAGGATCGCATTACACATTGAGTTACAATTCAAAGATCATTCGTGTCATTTTTCCAAATTCTTTCAATCTTGTCACTCAATCACCATTTGCCGAAGGGCTAATGGATCTCTTAATAAAAGTTAAATTCGGTACTTCATCACTTAATTAGGGAAGCGACTTGATAGGGAAGTAAAAAGTGACTTAAACGTTGAATTTTACCGCTAAAGTGACGGTCGGTCACTCAACTGAGCGGCTGGGATTCTGGGAAGACTGAACAGAAGAACCCTAGAATCCCCAAATCCCCCAATTCGATGGCGGGTCGTGCATCCACGGCCGAAGCTTTCTTCTCCGAGCTCGCGACCTCAACAGCAAGCTCTTCTTCGCTCACTTCCATGGATTCCGAAGCTGTCCCGAATCGAAAAGGGCCTCCTTGTCTCCTCACATTGGCCTCGTAGCTTCAGCCCTTCACGCCGTCGTCGCGATTCCGCTGAGGTTAGGAATTCCAATTTGGGGGAATCTCGTGGGAACTTTCGGGTATGATTGCTGTTCGTAGGCAGTGCTCTAGGTGCGTTTCCTCTGATTTGGGCGTTCCTACTTGTCTGGCTCGCGTCGGTGGTTCGCTCGGGTGTTCTTTGAGTTCGGACCACGACAATGTAAGCCCTGGTCGGAGATGTTGTTCGAACGGCTTGTGCGGTGGTTCTATTCGTGGAGCCCGAACCCCAACAACATCCTTAGGATGCAGAGCTAGTTTAATGAAAACCCGGGGTTTTGCCACATCCGACAGAGAGGGTCTCGATCTCGCGTCGATGTCTAATGTTCGCCGGCCGGACCAAGAAGTGGGGATTGCTGATCCGTTGGAGTCGACTTCCCCGGTTTACAGCGAAGCAGATGTTGAGGAAGTTTGTGTGTTACTGTTACGGCCCGAAGATTGGGATTCGACTCGAGAAGCTTTGGAGAAGTGCAATGTGAGCTTCACTAGTGAACTTGTGGTTGAGGTCATTCGCAGATGCAAGTGCCGCAGCGGCGCAGCTTTGCGCTTCTTTGACTGGGTGGGGAAGCGAGATGGTTACGGTCATAGCTTGGAGACGTACAACATGGCCATGAAGATCGCCGGAGGCGCTAAAGACTTCGAGCGCATGAGGAGCCTCTTTTACGAAATGAGAAGGAAGGGTTGCTCGATAACACCGCACACATGGACCATCATGATCATGCAGTATGGAAGGACAGGCCTGACAGATATCGCTCTGGGGATCTTTGAGGAGATGAAGGCGAGTGGTTGTGAGCCGAGCGGAAGTACTTACAAGTACTTGATCATCTCTCTCTGCGGGAGAAAAGGTAGAAAGGTGGATGAGGCCGTGAAGTTGTTCAGGCAGATGATGAAATCCAAGTACGTCCCGGATAAGGAATTCGTTGAAATCTATCTAGGTTGCTTATGTGAAAGCGACAAGTTGTCGGACGCTAGGAAATGTGTGAATTTCCTGCGCGAAGTTGGTTTTTCGACAGCACTGAGTTACTCTCTGTACATTAGAGCGCTTTGCCGAGCGGGTAACTTGGAAGAAGCACAGAAATTGCTGAACAATGCCGGAGCAGAGCGGGAGATGCTGAATAAGTATGTCTATGGGAGCATCGTCCACGGGCTACTCAGAAAGGGGAATTTGGAGGCGGCATTGTCTAAAGTGGACGAAATGAAGCAGGCGGGAGTGTCTCCTAGTGTTCATGTTTATACATCGTTGGCAGTGCATTATCTCAAGGAGAAGGAGATCGAAAAGGCCGAGGAAGTCCTCGAGACGATGAAACGCGAGGGCTGCGAACCGACCATTGTTACTTATTCTGCGCTCATCCGGGGTTACGTGGGCGCGGGAAAGGTTGGCGATGCTTGGAGTGTTTTCAACCAAATGAAATCAGAAGGGCCTTCGCCTGATTTTAGGACTTACTCGATGTTCATGAATTGTCTGTGTAGAATTGGTAGGTCTGAAGAAGCATTGGGGCTCATATCAGAGATGTTGGGTGATAAGATTGTCCCGAGTAGCGTCAACTTCCGAACTGTTTTTTATGGGTTAAACAGGGAAGGAAAGCATGATTTAGCCCGCTTGGTCTGGCAACAGAAGTTAGATTTAGCTAAACAAAGAAAATCAATGACATGATTAGTCCTATTCATCTTTGGTGTACATAAAGAGTTCACACAAAAGTTGGGGTTGGAGATTTGAGCAAGTTTTGAGTCCATTTCAAGAGTTTAAAACGCGGCTCGGATGCCTCCTGTTCCGTCACTTCTGTCTCTCATTCCTGACGGCAGGAAGTCTCAAAACCCAGCCATTAAGGTAAAGTCTCCATTACCCCATGTGAAACTGCACTTAAAAGCGATCGTGAGCAGGGCAAGAAATAAAGACGACAACAAAGGAGGGAATAGAACAACTGCAAAGTTTATGCAGGTTTATTATCTTCACATATCAATCTAAAAGTTGTGCCGGCCTGAAGCTGCAGTATGTAATTCCAACGGCTAAAATCATAAGCTGGACGGACAAATGCATAAGCTGAAGCAGATGGAATACTCCCAAATGCGCAGTATCCTTCTTAGTTCATTCTTCTAAAATGAGTGGAATACTAACCGCCGGGGTATGCCATAAACACTGTTAATGAATGGAATACTAATCACGAAATGATCTGCTCACACATTCAAGGTTTACAATGAATGGAAAAATGTCATTTTTTTCCAAAAAGCCTTCTCTTTTCTCTTCCTTTTCCCTTTTTCATAGACGCTGTTAAATCGATTCTTCACTACCTGTTCCTATCCACTTCCTCCCCTTCCAACCAGGGGAAGGAATACCATTGTCTTCTCGACCTCCATTTTCTACTCCTACTCTGCAGACCCTTTGATCAGCGTTTCCCTTTTGCATCATCGCCACGAGCTCATTGCAGTCAATGCGACCGTCCTGTAGCGAAGGATCAGAACCTAATTAGATGCCTTCAACTGTAAACAACATTTTAATTTAAGCACATGTTCACCGCATCAACGGTATAAAAACTTAGGAAATTTCCAGTTTCCCAAAATAGCAGAGTAGTCAGACAACTGCTGATTAGGACATCGCCACTTCTGATTAGCAAGCGATACAAATTACTTGTGTTTCATCAATTATAATTCCAGCTAACTTTCTATTGTTCTGTTCGAGTCTCTGAAAATCTGATAACATTAAATAGGCAGTCGGCAACACAAACTTTCTCAAATAGTGATCACACAGCAAGAGATTCCATTTCTTCTGAGATATGCCCGTTTTCTCTACGCATAACGTGTTAATTCATGAGTAAGTGGTGATTTATAATGACATTAAGTTCTTAACCCGGTCTCTGTCTTGTGATTTTTAGTTCCAATTTCATGTCTGTGCACTGATAGTAGTGACTAAGTAACTTAGAATTTAAAAAAAAACACGCTTACCCTATCAACTTGAAGCCAAGGGTGACCTGCATGAATACAGAACCGGATTTAGACTTTCGATTGTATCCAGAAATTCATATACTTCCAGGCAAAACGAATATTTGGGTCCCACTAACTCCTCTTCTAACCTGTCGATACTGGCACTAAGCCTCCATGAATTTGGATTAATTTTCATCTCGGCTTATTTCCAGGAGAAAACACACTCCTTCAGGTTTTCTCAAAATTATTCAGACATTGCAAGCCATCCTATGAGCGAGTTAACTCCTCATGGTTTTGTAGAAAATTGACGGCCTACAGCTCATTTTACTGCTAACACAACGAAATTTTGGAGTCTGATAGTGGAAAAGTAATGTTAAAGGAGAGATGCTTTTTACTGTTAGTGGCATACATGTAATTTTTATGTTAAAGTAGAGAAAAAAGTATTGTTGCTAATGGCATTTATATATTTCCGTTATAATTTTGTATGCCCTAAACTCTTGCTAAGTATTGGGACGATATCTTTGGTAGTTGTGACTTATAACTCTGAAACTTGATACCGATACTAATAATGAACAGATTATCTAGTGTGGCACCATGGCTTTTCCCTTCTTGATTTTGAACAGTTTTTTACGTTAAATTCACGCGTCTTCTTCTGTATTTTTTCTCTTCAATGTTTAGCATTCCTAACAACTGTTATCAAAACTGGCTCGGTAGAGTAGTGGGAGCAACAAAGATGGATGAAGGGAAGATGGAGATCGATTAGTTTGACAACAAGGACTTTGGTTTCTAGAAGATGCAGATCGAGGATCTGTTGTATAAAAAGAAACTTGCATCAGCCTCTGTTGGGAGAGAAATGGGATTCGATCAAGCAAGAAGACTAGGAATTGTCAGATCGGCAAGCCCTAGGTGTGAATCGTCTTACTTGGCGTGGAACATTGCCTTCAACATTGCCAATGAGAAGACAATGGCAGACTTGATGAGAGCATAGTCCAATATGTATGAGAAGCCTTCTGCGTCAAGTAAGATATATTTAATGCATCGTCTCTTCATTCCGAAGTTGGACAAAGGTGGTTCTATGACAAATCTTATCAACGAATTCAACATGATCAAGCCTAAGTTGAGTTTGGTGAAAATCAAGTTCGATGATGAGGTAAAAGCTTTGATTTTGTTATCTTCTCTACCTGAAAGTTGGAGTGCAACTATGATTGTAGTGAGCAGTTCGTTATGTCAAAAAAGGTTGAAGCTTCAAGAGATTTGAGATTTGATTCTTAGCTATGATATTCACCAAAGAGAGTCAAGTGCATCTTCGGGCACTGCCTTGACCAAGGGTAGAGGAAGAGACCGTTGTAGGTGAAATAGTTTGCTGGATGAGAGATTTGGTGAAGGCGTGGTGGGAAGCGATGAAGGCGTGGTTTAATATTTAATTATTCTAACTCTTCTCCTCACGCTTAGTCTGGTCTTTTTGCCTAGTACTAAGTGTGGACATATTTAATTGGTAAGGCAAATGAGATCTGAAAAGATTTGAACTTAAGACCTCCAGCTCTAGAGCCATGAGAGATTTTGGTGGGATCACAGTCAACTGTTCTAAAAACTTTAGCTGTTAGATTAAGACGTGGTTTAATATTTAATTATTCTAACACTAGAATTGCAAAAAGAAAGGCCATTTGAGATGAGATTGTAGAGCCCAAAGAAGAAAATTCAATACCGTGATTGATATCAAGAGGAGAAATTTGTGAATGCAACCCTTGAAGAGACGCTTGACAATGATGCCTTAATTTTGAGCGTAAACGGCCCGATTGAGTCTTGGATTCTAGACTCAGGTGTGTCATTTGACTCTACTTCATGCAGAAAAGCAATGTACAATTTTGTTGCTGGAAGGTTTTGAAAGTTTATCTTGCTAGTGATGAACCTTGAATATTATGAGGAAGAGTGATGTTCACATAAAAACTACTAACGGGTATTAATGGAAGTTGTATGGTGTCGGATTTGTTCCTGGCCTTGAGAGAAACATGATCTCTATAGGCAAATTAAATATCTAAGGATACAAAATTAATTTTGAGGACAGCTGGTGGAAATTGTTAAAGATATTATGGCTGTAGCACAGGGAACAAAATCAAAAGCATAGTGCATGACCGAAAGCAGTAGAGAAACAACAACGGTTTCTAAGTCGGAAGCTAATATCAAATTGCTTGGACACTTGAGTGAATAGGGGATGAAAGTATTAACGTCAAAGGGAAAATTACCTGATCTGAAATCCATAGATATTGGTCTATGTGAGAATTGTGTTATGTGCAAGTGGAACTATGTTAGTTTTTCGAAGATTGGGAGAGATCCAAATAAAGGAAAGTGCATACAGATATCTGGGGCCAGCCCCTGTGCATTCCGTTGGAGGTTCGAGCTACTACATTGCGTTTATTAACTACACACCAGAATGACATGGCTTTATTTTTTGAAAAACAAATACGATGTATTTGCTACTTTTAAAAGATCAAAAGCTGATTAGAGAATGAGATTGTCCTGAAGATTAAATGTCTAAGGTCTGACAATGGTGGTGAGTACGATAACAAGGAGTTCAACAGTTTTGTGTAGAGAATGGAATCAACATGACAAATACGGAGTTGTTGAAAAGATGAACATAATTTTGAATGAGCATGCAAGAACCATGGGGATGCATGCAGGATTACTGAAAACGTTTTGGGCAAATGCAGTTCACACAATAGTATATCTGATCAACAGACTATCTTCGATTAAACTTGATTTTAAGCCAACAGAAGAAGAATGTGTTGGAAATAACGAATTCCTCACATCTGAAAGTTTTTGGTTATGTTTCAAAAGTGCATATAGATTTTGAAAATAGACACAAAGCTTAGCACAAAGGCTAGAAAATGTTTTTCCATTGGATATGGTTCTGATTATTTTGGCTATCGATTATGGGATGAACAAAATAGAAAAATAATGAGAACAAACGATGTTGCATTCAATGAAAATATGTTGTACATCTAGAGTGAGAAAACAAATTGAGAAGACAAGAGAAATTGAATTTGAGGGGTTTTTAAGAGTGTTCTAGTTAGAAATCCTAAAACTGTTGTTGTATACTCTGATAAAAAATCAGAACAAGAATCACATACATCTAAAACCACTTTAAGAAGATCTTGTAGAACATCTAAACTTGTACAGAGGTATTCTCCAGCATTGCATTATTTGCTTCAAACTGATGCTGGCAAACAAGAATATTTTTCACAAGTATTACAAATTAAAGATTCTGTTAAGTAGGAGATGGCAATGTGAGATGAGATGAATTCACTTGAGAAAATAGAATTTGGGAATTTAACTCGGTTACCATATGGGAAGAAGACATTGCGGACCAAGTGGGTATACTAGGTCAAAAAAACCCTAATGGCAGCAATTGATACAAACTAAGGTAAGTAGTAAAAGGTTTTCAACAAAATAAAGGAATTGACTACGCAGATTCACTTTAGTTGTGAAGTTGACTACTATCAAGCTAGTGTTGAGTACTGTTCTTGTTGAGAACTTACATCTACATTCCTTCATGGTGACTTGAAGGAGGACATATACATGGTACAACCAGAAGGTTTTCAGGTGCTTAACAAACAAAATTATGTCTGCAAATTAAAGAATAGTCTATATGATTTAAAACAGGCTCCTAGACAGTGGTACAAGAAATTTGATACTTTTATGTGCGGTAACGGGTTTACTAGATGTGAAATAGATCATTGTTGTTACTTAAAAAAATTTGATGACTGCTTTATTATTTTAGTGTTGCATGTAGATGATATGCAAATTGCAGGATCTAGCACGAGGGAGATCAATATAGTGAAGTGGTAATTGTTATAATAGTTTGAAATGAAAGAATTGGGAGCAGCAAATCAAATTTTTGGAATGAGGCACATGAGATAGATCTGAGGAATTCTAAAGTTATCTCAAGAAAATTACATTGAGAAGGTGCTGGACAGATTTGGAGTTTAATATACAAAGTCCAAAAGTACTCCCTTAGGAAGTCACTTCAAGCTCACGAAGAGGCAGTGGCGAAAGACAGATGAAGAGCAGGAGTACATGGCTAAGGTGCTTTATGCATCAGCTGTTGGTAGTTTGATGTATACTATAGTGTATACCAGACTAGACATAATTCATACAATGAGAATTTTGAGCAGATATATAGCTAATCTAGTGATAAAGTATTGGGAAGCTGTAAAGTGGCTATTAAGATACCTGATAGGAATTTCAGGTATGTCACTATGTTTTATGAAAAACAGTGTAACTTTATCAAGCTTTGTCGATGCAAATCCTGGTGGTGACTTGGACAATATGAAGAGCACCTCAAGTTATGTTTTTACCTTAGGTGGCACTACAATTAATTGTATGTTTAGACTTCACAAGTGTGTGTCCCTCTCAACCACTGAAGCAAAGTATGTTGCTATATCTGAAGCTGGCAATGAGATGATTTGGTTGAAGAATTTTCAGATTGAGATAGACAAGGAGCAGGATAGCAGTGTTCTTTTCAATGACCATCAAAGTGCTCTTTATCTCGCAAAAAATATGGATTTTCAGTCGAGGACAAAAAACATTGAGTTGAACGTATCATCATATTCATCAGCTGATAGATGATGGGACATAGTCATGGTGCAGAAGATCCAACAAAGATGTTAACCAAGGTTGTCACCAGTGAGAAATTGAAGCAGTACATTGCTTCAGTTAGCCTCCATGGTCAATGATGAGAAGACCATCGCACTAGAACAATTTGGGTTACAAAGATGAGTGAAGACTATGAAAAACTATTATTGTTTTTAAGATCAGCCTCCAAGTAGGAGATTGATGGAGTTGTGGAGTCTAATAAAAGAAGGTATATTAAAGCAAAGAGGCTTTTCGCTGTTAATGAGATACTTGTAATTTTCATGTTAAAGTAAAGAAGAAAGTACTACTTTTAATGGCATTCATGTAATTTCCATCATAATTTTGTATGTCCTAAATTCCTGCTATATATTTGCGACGATATTTTATGTAGTTATAACTTGTAACTTTGAAACTTGATACTGATTCTGATAGTGAAGAGATGGCCTAGTACAACATCGTGGTTTTTCTCTTTCTAATTTTGAAAAGGTTCTTCACGTAAAACTTTGTGTTTCTTCTCTATTTTTCTCTTCAACGTTTCACGTTTTTACCGTATTCATGCATAATAAACATACTGACAAAGATCCCTGTTTCCGATAGTTCCAAAGTAGAATGCAAGCTCAGGTCTCTCTTCAGCGTTTCGCTTTCCTAACGTAATGCTCTTCCCAGCTGTTAGCACAAGTCTCTCTCGACCGTATACATTCTGACAAAGACCCCTGTTTTAGATAGTTCCAAAGTAGAATGCAAGCTCAGTTTAACCCGTCAACTGTATACGTTAAATATGAGTGTAAGGTAACCTAGGGTGCGCATGGAATGCGTTCCGGAATAAAAATTCTGTTCCGGAATGTTTCGGAATGCATTCCGGAACAGGATGGCGTTTGTTAAAAAATTTCCGAAATGCATTCTAGAGCGATTTTTGCATTCTGGAATAAAAATGCGTTTGTTAAAAATACTTGATTCCAGAATGCATTCTTGATTCCAGAATGCATTTTTTATTCCGGAATGAGTTTTTGGCCAGAAAAAGAGAAGCTACTTTTTGTAGCTTCTTGATTCCGGAATTCATTCTCCCTATTTTCTCACAATTTTTTTTTTCAGAAAATGCATAAAAATTGAAAAATTCTAGAAAAATTCATAAAAATTTCCAGAAAATAAAAAAAAGTCAGATTTGGGGAAAATATGAAATTTGGTGAATTTTTTTTTAAAAATAAAATAAAAATAAAAAATTTCAAAACTTCACAGAATAGCTTAAAACACATGTGGCCACCCACTTTGAGTGAAATTTAAATTTTTTTAGGTGCAAAAAAAAAATCAAAAATTTCAAAACTTTACAAAATGGCTTAAAATACCTGTGGCCACTTACTTTGAGTGAAATTTAAATTTTTTGAGGTGCCCAAAAGAAGAAAAATAATAAAAAAATAAAAATTTTCAAAACTTCACAAAATGACTTAAAATACATGTGGTCACCCACTTTGAGTGAAATTTAAATTTTTTGAGATGCCTAAAAAAATAAAAAAAAAATAAAAAAATTTCAAAACTTCACAGAATGGCTTAGAATATCTGTAGCCACCCACTTTGAGTAAAATTTAAATTTTTTGAGGTGCCCAAAAAAATTCAAAACTTCACAAAATGGTTTAGAATACCTGTGGCCACCCACTTTGAGTGAAATTTAAATTTTTTTAGGTGCCCAAAAAAAATTAAAAAAATCAAAAATTTCAAAACTTTACAGAATGGCTTATAATACATGTAGCCACCCATTTTGAGTAAAATTTAAATTTTTTTAGGTGCAAAAAAAATCAACAAATCAAAATAGATTTCTGTTCCAGAAATCAATTTCCGGAGCAGAATTAGTCATGTTTTACCAAACAGATTTCTTCTCCAGAAATCAATTTCTGGCAAGAATTCCAGAAATCAATTTCTGGCAAGAATTTGATTTCTGGAGCAGAATGGTTACCATTCGCACCCCTAGTATCTACATCCTCTCAACCTTCAGTTCAATTTTCTACTCCTAACAGGTTAAGATGGCCTTGCAACCCCACAATAGCAGCTATAAAAGAAGCAAAAAAGAAGGAAAAAAAAACATCTCCTTTATGACAGTAGAGAAGAGGCTTTTGTCTACACTACAGGTAGAAATCTAGAAGGACCCCGGCCTATCTTGTTCGAACGTTTCCTACTTTCCTTGCAAGTTACGAAATGACTAGCGTTCCCGAGTATGTACATTATGGAATCAGCAAATTGGGTTATCATACTTACAAAGGACTTCATGAGCAGTTATCCGCTTTTTAGGGTTCCTGACAAGCATTCTCCTGACCAGATCTTTAGCACTTTCAGATATGTTAGGCCAAGGATATGGTGAGAAGTCAAGATCGCCGTGCAAAACCTCTCCAAATATCTCCTCCTTAGTTTCTGCGCCAAATTGGAAAGAAGAACATCCGCCAAAATGAATGTTCAGTATCGATCTCCTCTAGAGAGTCTATCCATGAAAATGCACAAGACAAATCCTTACTGCCCCAAAATGGAGGAACACCACTTAGGAGTATGTAGATAATCACACCGGCACTCCACACATCTGCTTCTGGACCATAACTATTCCGCAGAACTTCCGGCGCAATATAATTTGGGCTTCCTACCACATCGGTAAAAGTCTCCCCTGCAATATATTTTGTAGGCATCATAAATCTAGCATCATTACACATGTATCAAATAAGACTTGATCTGAAAATTTCCTGACATTTCCATGCCTAAAGGCAGAATGAAAAAGGAACAGAAGCTTACAATGTTAAGAAGAATCGATTGCTTATTAGTGACAAAAGTAGAAAGATGAAAAAATTGAAAATGTTCTCCCTGCAACTTTTTTGCATGTGAACACAAATAAATCAATAAACATCAAGGCTCCGTTCGTTTGGCGGAAAATATTGTGTTTTTGGAAAATGTTTTCCCGGAAATCATTTTCCTAGAAAATGTTTTTCCGGAACACAATTTTCCGGTGTTCGGCAACGATCACCGCCGGCTGTGTTCTTTTTCCTTCTTCTTCTCCGGCAGGTCGCCGGCCATGGCCACGGCCGACGTCCGGCGACCGGCCAGAGGCGAGCTCGAGCATTGCCACAGGCCGGCGAGGCCCCAGTTCGCCCGGCCGGCGACCTGGGCGAGGTCGAGCCTCGCCCGAGGTCGCCAGATCCGTTGAGCCTTGCCCGAGGTCGCTAGATCCGGCGACCTGGGCGACGTCGAGCCGAGCCCGAGGTCGCCGGACGTCGGCGAACCTCGCCCAAGTCGCCGGACGTCGGCGAACCTCGCCCAAGATCATTGGCGAGGCTCTGGCGAGGCTGAGCTCGCCGGCTGCCGACTGCTGAGGTAGAAGAAGCAGAAGCAAAAAAAAAAAAAAAATAGGAAGAAGTCTGAAGCAAAGAGCTTCAGACTTCCGGAAAATGACTTCCGCTTCTCAGAAGCGGAAGTCATTTTCCTCAAAACAATGAAGGATTTGGGGGTGGGGAAGGAATGGAAAACATTTTCCGCCCCCGAACACCGGAAAACGCGGAAAATGTTTTTCGGAAAAATATTTTTCCGGAAACGAGCACAGCCCAAAAGTCCAGTTTACGCAACCAGTGCTGTTGCTAAAGCGTGGTCAGATCAATCCCCTGATGCCAAAGTTCAGATTCAAAAGATTCAAGGAGCTAATTTTTTTATTAAAGAGTGCAATTATATGATATTGCTGAAATTTCCGATCGCCAAAGACCTGAACTGAGCTAATGCAGAAATGTTAAATTGCATGTGTGAGTTGTATTAAAGAAGTCTCACATCAGAAAATTAGTGTGGTAAGGAGCAGTTCATATATCCTAGTTGGCCCACAACTCATTGGCTTAAGCTTTTGAGCGAAGGTGGGTCTAACGGAATATGTTAACGGGCTCGAACTTGACTCCCTCTTGGCAATCTCTCCAATGAAGGTATCAGGATCGGCGTTCTTAACTAAAATCAGACTATTAAACAGAATCGTAGATCACGTGGAGATGGAAAGTAATATCAGAAATCTGAACGCAAAATCATCAGAATACATCCTGAGAAGTCCATCAATTTTTGTGCAGCATACCTGGCTTGAAGAAGGTTGATAATCCGAAATCTATCATCTTGAGAGGTGAATCCTCGTGTTCATTAACAAATAGAAAATTCTCGGGCTTAAGATCTCGATGCATCACCCTCAGGGAATGGCAAGCTTCCACAACACCGACTATAGTCCTGGCAAGTTGAGCTGCTTTCCGCTCAGCGTAATGCCCCCTCTTTTTAATCCTGTCGAAGAGATCGCCTCCGGCACACAGTTCCATAACCAGATGAACTGCCACGGAGTCTTCATGCGCCCCTTTGATGGATATCACATTAGGATGCCCCGCCAAGTGATGCATTATCTCTATTTCCCGTCTCACATCCTCAACATCGTGCATTGTCAACATTTTCCTCTTCGCAATGGATTTGCAAGCGTACTCTGTGCCAGTCGCCTTCTCCACGCATAGGAATGTAGAACCAAACTGACCACTTCCAAGATTCCGCCCCAAATTGTAGTATTCCTTCAAGAGACTGGTTTTTGTACGTAATACCGAATCTACTGTGAGCCCTGCGCTCGAAGGCTTCTTCACATGGAAAGATTTCATGGGTCTTGTTGGCCCCGCTGGTTTGACATCCTCCTTTTGTCTCGATGGTGGCACTTTGTTCTGTACACCGTGTGTCGCTTCTTCCATTGCTTTAGTATCTCCCTTTTGCTTCGCGACCTTACTGACGGACATCAATTGACCGGCAATCCCAGTATGACCATCCATTTTATTGCTCGATCGATGCCAAAACACCAAATTCGAACGAACGCAAATATTTCCCATCTATTACAACCGCTGATAAGTATCAACGCCAAACAACTATATATTCCTGACGTTTGCACAGCACATCGTCTGCACACCTCCTCCGTCCAATTTCTCCTATGAAACGGTGGTTGAACTTACAGAGTTCCTGCAACAAGAGGATTTTATTGACCAAGAGAACTAGCTCGACCAAAGCCGGTATATACCGTACCCAGTAACAACCTTAGCTTGCAGCTAAGAAACAGGCAGTGCACATAGTACAGCCAGGTAACTGGGGAACTTCGACCAGAAAAGAAACAAAACTGTGGTCCAAATCATCATATAATAATCCTCGACAGGTTTTACAGTTGGACGGATGGATTGATGATGAACAAGGAATATGGAGGAGGACGTGATTATCCCACGTGGGGCGTTGACTTTCCTGCTCGCTTTCCTTCGTTGGAGTTCACGCGCGAAAGTCCAAAGAGGAAATCCCAAGGAAAATGAGAGGGAGAAGAGAGAGATATTACAGGTTTTTCCATTGGAATGCTTGAAACTCAGGATTAAAACGAAGGCGTTTACATTATATTTTGATTTGTCGTTATCACATCGCTCCATGAAAATTCCGACGTTTTGGACATGGGGGTCGCACAGGGACGTGGACGTTTAGATTTCTGTTGCTTCCAACCGGCGAATGCCAAAAAGTTAGGCGCGCTTTGGATTTAACGGAGATGAATTTAAACATGTAACATTGATACTGTAGTTCAGTGAACAGTCATGTACATCCGGTCTAATACATACTAACATCATTTAGCAAGTTGTCTTCATCAGCGTTAGGCTTTTCGTTCAGAGAAAAGTTCTAAGAATGCAAAGTTATGAACAATTCTGAGTCACATCAATCTTTTGGGTTGAAGTTTTTACCCTCGTGATTTAATGCACCTAACCACTGCACACCTCAAAGGCTGTAGATGGACTGGCGTATCACTATCGAAGTCCAAAACAATGTAGTGACAGATTCCTATTGAGCCGGTTCTGAATGAGATTTTCGGGCTCCATCTGTTTCAACAAAACTAATTTCCGATTGTCAAATGCGAACAATTTCTAGGTTGCTTATGTGAAAGCGACTGGTTGTCAGACACTGGGAAATGTGCAAATTTCCCGCGCAAAGTCGGTTTTTCGACCGCACTAAATTACTCTGTGTATATTAGAGCAATTTGTCGAGCGGGTAACTTGGAAGAAGCATTGAAATTGATGGACGATGCCGGAGCAGAGCGAGAGACGCTGAATAAATGTGTATGGGAGCATCGTCCATAGGCTACTCAGAAAGGGAACTTGGAGGCGGCATTGTCTAATGTGGACGAAATGAAGCAGGCGGGAGTCTCTCCTGGTGTTCACTGTTCAGGTATATACATCATTGCTAGTGCATTATCTTAAGGAGAAGGAGATCGAAAAAGGCCGAGGAAGTTCTCCAGATGATGAAATGCGAGAGCTGTGAACCGACCATTGTTACTTATTCTGCGGTCATCCAGGGTTACATGGGCGTGGTAAAGGTTATTGATGCTTGGAGTGCTTTCAACCAAATGAAATCGGAAGGGCATTCGCCTGATTTCAGGACTCACTCAATGTTCACGAATTGTCTGTGTAAAATTGGTAGGTCTGAAGAAGCACTGAGGCTCATATCAGAGATGTTAGGTGATAAGATTGTTAGGAGCAGTGTCAACTTCCGAACTATTTTTTTATGGGTTAAACAGGGAAGGTTAGCATGATATACCCCGCTTGGTCTGGCAACAGAAGTTAAATTTAGCTACACAGAGAAAATCGACGACATGATCATTCCTACCCTTTTCTGGTGTACATAAAGAGTTCACTCAGATTTTAGCAACTTTTTGAGTCCATATCACGAGTGAAATATTTTGGTCAAGTACTCCAGGACCTGAGAATCAAATTTAAATGCAGGTAGTAGGTAGTGGTGATACTTGCATCAGAAATGAGATTGATATTTATGAGTGCCCCTGCAATAACGAATAAAAGTTTTATTTAAGGAGGAACTAAATCATTTTCTTGAGATTTCTCCTTTATCCACTCCCATATCTTGTTTTCACTAATCCTTTATCTAGCGCTCTGTACAGTTTGGGCTATCCACTTGGAAGATGGTAGAAAACAGAAACAATTGTTGAAGCAATGAACTCATTTAGAGAATCTCTTAGAAAAGGCATTAAGATGGAAAACAAAAGGACACGAATAAGTTACTGTAATGCTCTACAATCTACATTAACTTGTATGCTTACAGGTACCTGAATGTGTAATTGTTCAAAAACCCATTCCTGCAATTTGTCAGTCCTTGAATCTGGCTTTAATGGATGAAGATTCGAGCGGCTCAGTGTCAAAGATCCGATATGACCAAGGTGATGGGGAACCCAAAGCTTCTTATGTTGGTCAAAAGTTTAAAATGTGGCTCTCATGCCTCCTGTTTCTTCGCTGCTCTCTCATTCCTGAGAGCAGGAAGTCTTAAGACCCACTCACTAAGATTGAGTCTCCAACAGTGCATGCGAAACTGCACATAAAAGCAATCGTGAGCAGGGCATGCCATAAAGAAAAACAGAGAGGGAAAAGAATGACTGCAAAGTTTATGCAGGTTTGTTATCCTCACATATCATCTAAAAGTTGAGCCAGTCTGAAGCTGCAGTATGATATTCCAATGGCTAAAATCATAAACTGGACGGACAAATACATAAACCAAAGCAGATGGAATGCTGCTAAATGCACATTCTTAGTTCATTTTTCTAATATGGGTGGAATACTAAGCACCGTAGTATGCCATGCAGAAATTTCTTTAACCACCAATTCGTGGCATGAAAGTGGAATGAGTGCTGAATTTCCAATCACTAGACTTGTCTTATGGCGTTCACCTAGAAGCAAAAATGTCATTGTTGTCAAATTTCTTTCCTCTTCCTTTTCCATTCTTCATAGACACTGTATAAACAATTCTTCACATTTTATTCATATCCACCTCATCCCCTTCCAATCAAGGGGAAAAAGAATCATTTATCTTCTCCACCTCCATTTTCTACTCTATTTTCTTCACCTTTTCATTTTTCTTACAAGCAAATGTCATAGAATAGGAAAACCACTAGATGGTTATAACTAAAGTTAGTTCATTTAGAGAGAAGAGAACCAGCAATAAAAAAGAAAGAATCAAACTAGCAGGCAAGCACCTCTTCATGTGAAAAGTAGGATCCATATTGTGGTGAAGAATCTTACATGTACTCTCGCGAGAAGGTTCTGGCCTTCTGGCCAAGTACCTATATCAAAGCTTCTTTGTGATCTCTTCATTTACACGACTGTAATACTTCATTCTCCTAACACATGTCAGAGCATCTTCAAATTTCCGGGAACATAATGAACTGGCAAAAGAATTAGACCAGTGTCTCAATTTGTCTTCCATCTAACAAGAGAAACAAAGGAACAGCGCTAAGTCATTGTACAGGCTGAGAATCTATTACTCTCTTTGCAACAGCAAAATAAACAATGAGACCATCGTTTCTTTTATAGAGGATGTGAAGTCAAAGTTCAAAGGGGTTGCAGTGCGGGAAACCTAACATGTCTATAAAGTTCTAAGGCAAACATATGGAAATATAATTTTTCAAAAGATGCCAAGTATACCTTGACGGTCCAATCCTATTCAAATGCACAACACTAACAAAATGATGGAACTATATGACTCATTCACGTAGAAGCTGCCTACCATATAAACCAGTCTCCACAACTCTATACTGAAGAAAATGGTCTGACTAGCTATCAATATATGTTAGGCCTGCCGTACCTGAGACTGAATCTGTTTCAAAGCCTGAGAGTCAGCCGCCTCATCTACAGCTTCTCTTATTTCCAGTATCTGCATTAGCATTCAACAAAAGAGAGAATTAATCCAGAAAATCTTCAACTTGAAAAAGAAACCAGATAAAGGGAGCAACTGTTCAAATTACTGAGAAGCTTTGCCTTCATCCCTCTCTCCCTCCCTCTCTCTAATCAAAATGATAAAACGCTGGCGACAGAGAACGACCATATTTACATGTTGCTCATATAAAAGACCTCTTTCTAACTCATACTTTTCACCATACCAGCATATTCCTTCGAAATCCCACTCTATAAACTGAAGATAGCGAAAAGGCTTTTTCGCAGTATTTTTATATAAGGGCAGAAAGGAGCTAAAATAATATAAGTAATTAATTTCTCATTCATAACCTTGGAATATATATGTTTTGGAAGCCCCAAATTTACCTCAGTTAACAACTCTGGCTCTGAAACGGTTTCCTCTTCATCAACGTTAACCCCTTCAAGCTTTAGCTGCAAAAGAAATAACAGATTCAACTTGACAAGTCATGTTAGCACTAGATTATTTAACAAGTAAAAGATGAACTAGATGAACACTGTCTCTTTCAAACTGAGTTCATAGCCTTTTTTCTTAATAAGGAATTTCATATAAAAAATATTTTGATACACCATAAGCCAATCATGGACACTGAAAAGCTGTAGCTTGAGGCAAAATACAAAGAATAAAAAGAAGTGTAATTTTCAGAAGATCATGCATCATAAAGGTTAACATTTTGAGCTTTTCGAGACATTGGCAGGTAGCAAGCAAAGATTCTGGCAAGTCAAGAAGAATATCACTTGCCACACCTTTAGTCCTCACAATGAATTTATAACCCTCTGCAGACCCTTTAGTGTACAATGCAAAAGAATATGAGACAGCAATAGGCTCCGTTTGCTTTGGCGAAAATGAATGATTTGAAAAACATTTTCCTAAAAATAAATGCTTGTATCATTTGAAATAATTAGTTAATGAAAAATATTTTCATAATCGACAAACAATTTATGTCCAAACATTTTCGTGGACGATGAAAATAACTTTCTTTCATTCATTTTTGTAGTCAATATAAGCGATCATTTTTTGGAAAATTGTTTGCAAATCATTCATTTTCTGCGAAACAGACACACCCTAAGTAAGTGAGTTGTTGCATGCAGAAACTCAACGAGGAAGACGAATTATCCTGGGAGAATACCCATAGATGACAATACGAAGTAACACTTACCACATATATCGCCCTCGTCAAAGGCTTGCTAAGAGTGCGGTATGCATCAATTACTCGAGCAGACTGGCCTGCAGCATATTCTTTTTCTTGCTGAACAAGATGTAAAGAGCATTTAGAAGCTATAGACATATACAATTAGAAGTCCCCCAGTCAACGAAACCAAAACAAACCTCTGATTTTGAATGGACTAGATCAGGATGCAACTTCTTCTGCCAAGCCTTATACTTGCCCTCCAGATTTGTAACATCCATTTCATACTTCTTTTCCCTGGTAAAATGGCACTACTCTTAAATGCGTGTGGCCAATACATATCGGCTAAATCATTTTCATTGTTTTCTCATGCCCGCTGAACACCGAGGCATATGACAAGAAACAAAATGAAGCCACAAAAGCACATGTTTACTGTCACAACGACAAAACCACACGACTACGCTCAAGGCAAATGCCTCGACTTTTTCTCCCACAAATTTTCATCTTTCAAAAGCCCATTAATCATACACTACTAAAAAAATTCACCAGCTGCTCATAAGATTCAAAGTTGAGTACTCGATGTGTGATGTTTGGAATGAGATCCTTTCCTCTACGACGTCTCCGCAAGGAAACAGATGATGAACACAAAACTCAGACTTTGAACACGACTGGATTGAAAAGACTCTCAACTCAACATCCAACAACTGTCAGGTTATTTTCTGATAATCTCTTCTTCAGAAGATTGAGAAGCAAATTCATAACAAATCGTAAGGAATTCAGACACCCAAGGAAAAGAAAAAAAGGAAAGATACCAATCAATGTCATCAAGTAAAGCATCACGCGTGATCCAGTCCAGATACTCACAGCTCGAAAATTCGGAAATAGTCCACCGACTCGTCCACGGGCTGCACGCTCCGGCAAGACTCGCACACCAGGAACGGCGCCGTCGCGGTCTCCCGAGCTCCGGCGCCGCAGTTCCAGCACTCGGGAGCTGCGCCGCCGGGAGCGCCTCCCGAGCAGCAGCTCCTCCCGGAACGCCGGAGGAAATCGCGGCGGTCGAGAGGGGGAAAGCCCGCGGTTCCCGCGTCGGAGGAGGGCGGAACCGCGCGCCGCTCGGCGAGGCGCCGGAGCCCCTGCGAAGCGGAATGGGTCGGGACGACAGCGCGGCCGGCTGCGGCGAGCGTCCGGCGAAGGGCGGCGGCGGAGAGAGGAGCGCCGAGCCTTCTCTTCCACATTCTGGGAGCCTCAGGAGCGCCCGCAGAAGCAGGGGAGGAGAGACAAGAAGCAATGGCGTGAGAACGTGAGAAGGGCAATTCCGGAAGTTCGCCGATTCAATTGTTCTTCCGCCACGTACTCAAGTTCTTTGTTCCCGGCAGCTGTTAGGATTCTGCTTGCGCTTCGCCCACGAACTTTGAGGGAGAAAATGACGTAAATGGCCATTGAATCTTGGTCCGATATGTAACGTGATCTCTGAACTTTTAATTTATTAGGTTAATATCACGAAAAACCCTAAACTGGTACACTCGTGACAATTTTACCTCAAACTATATTTTTGACCATAAAAAACCCCAAACTGGTACACTTGTGACAAATCTACTTTGAACTATTTTTTTTACCACAAAAAACTCCAAATTGGTATACATGTGACAATTTTACCCCGAACTAATTTTTTAATATCATTTTTTATTTTTCGAATTTTTTATTAATTTTTTTTATTTTTTCTTTACCTTTTTTTTCCTTTCTCTTCAACTTCTGGCCGGTCGCCGGACCGGCGACCGGCCAGAGGCGGAAGCCGGTGAGGTCGGCCCCACTGGCCACTAGCGAGGCTCGACCTCGCCGGCGTTGGGCAAGGTCGGCCTCGCCTTACAACGGCGAGGTCGAGCCTCGCCGGCGCACGGGACCGAGCCCTCGCCGGATCCGGCGAGGCTCGACCTCGCCCGTGTGCGGGCGAGGTTAGCCTCGCCGGCGTTGGGCGAGGTCGGCCTCGCCACGCAACGGCGAGGTCGAGCCTCGCCGATCTCGGCGCAGGGCTCGGCCCCGCCGTTGCAAGGCGAGGTCAGCCTCGCCGGCGTTGGGCGAGGTCGGCCTCGCCCTGCAACGGAGAGGTCGACCTCGCCGTTGCAAGGCGAGGCCGACCTCGCCCAACGCTAGCGAGGTCGAGCCTCGCCAGCAGCCGGCGGGGCCGACCTCGCCGGCTTCCGCCTATGGCCGATCGCCGGACCGGCCAGAGGTTGAAGAGAAAGGAAAAATAAAAAATAAAAAAATTCGAAAAATAAAAAATAATATTAAAAAATTAGTTCGGGATAAAATTGTCACATGTATACCAGTTTGGGGTTTTTGGTGGTCAAAAAAATAGTTCGGGGTAGATTTGTCACAAGTGTACCAGTTTGGGGTTTTTTATGGTCAAAAAAATAGTTTTGGGTAAAATTGTCAAAAATGTACCAGCTTAGGATTTTTCGTGATATTAACCCTAATTTATTTAATGTGGTCCATGAACTTTAGCGCAATATGCAACCTAAATTGCAAATTTGTTCGATATTGTCCTTTCATTAATTCAATTTCAGGAACAACATTGAATATTTTTATATAGTTTGGTGACTAGATAAAACATAAAAAAAAAAATTCAATAACGATATTGCACATTAGAATAAATTTCATGGATTATATTGAACAAATTAAAAGCTCAAGGATCACATTGCGCATCAAATCAAAGTTCAAGGATTATTTGTGTCGAGCAATTAAATTTCGTCAAAATGCTTACTTTATTCACACAATCATTGAATATAAGGATTAATTCGAAACAAGATTTTTTATTTTATTTTCATATCACTTTTAAATTCTTTTTTGTTATCTTACAGCAATTCAAATTCATGTCTTTAAATAGGTACATTCTTTCTCGCAACACTTCTAATGTGTTTCCACTCCTTAGAGTCGAAAAACCTCTTTAAGGCCTTGTTACTGTTTTTTGGTCCGAGTCTTAAGGCCTTGTTGAAGAAGTGAGAAACGCTGAATCGGTGAGACTGTGACCATTTTGTAGGATGATCACAACTTCGCAGAGTTCAAGGAAGGTGGTGATTCAGGATTCATCCCATTATTCTGGGATGACCCAAAAAGAAGAAAAATCTCCTGCCACGACAAAGAAGGTGGTGACCATAAGCTGCTGAATCCAGAAATCCCATTACTCAGACCGCCAGACCAGAAACTCTTAGACAATGAATGCTCGTGTTGTGTCTCATATATCATAAAAATAGCATTGAAAACCGAAATTGTTGAACATATAGTTCCCTGAGGTTTCTCGTCATAATACATGATTGTGATTGGCCACAAGAAGACCCGGAAAGTTTGCCGCTCTGTCTTCCTTAAAAAAGAGAGGGGAAAGCGAAAGGAAAGGCGAACACATGTAGAAAGAAAGTAACTCTGCTCGCATGTGAACTTCTGACGGAGAAGGGTGTCAAGCGGAACCAAACATTCTATCCTGTGAATCCCCATCAATGTCCATGAAGTGGGTGGAAACAACATAACCTGTATCTTCTCCATCGTCTGGACGAATTCTCTGCATCTATGCCATTTTTGTCTGCCCTCTCTGGCCCTATGGTCATCTCTTTGGTGTCGCTCGTGGTTGAGTTCGAAAATGGTGCCTCCATCTTCCCACTCTCGAGAGAATATGAAGCAACGACCTGGTCAATCTGATGAGGAGCCAAGAGTCTCTCTTCCGGGGAAGCTGGTACTACCTTGCTGTGACTTACTTCCCTTGTGGCACTAGAATTTGATTTCCTATCCCTGCAATTACCACGCTCTTGGAACTCAGACTAGAAGAGAGGGGGGGACCTAGCACGCACAGCAAACACCACCCGATGACAATATACTTTTACTTACAAGAATTCTATCTTTTAAGTTTATTAGAAGTCGCCAAAAACACTCAACATCAGCAACCTATCTCGGGAGAAAATCATGAGCTGGCACCGATACACAACTAAATAGTTTTATGTATCTGTCTATCTTCATTAATGCAGGGCAAACCACAAATTAATGCCTTCATGGTGAAAAAGTTGTCGAAGTTTCATTGCGGCCCATGACTATCACACCCGCGAAAGTGTAGATTAAGAAAACAGGAAACCATAAGCAAGGCGTGACACTGCCTGATCATTGTAATTACCTCAAACTGTGAGTGCCAGAGCTTAGTCTCTGTTCTTCTGTAGACTTCTTTATGGTTTCTCTGTTTAATTCTTCAGCACCAATGTCATCCTTTGAAATGAATCCAACTTTTTCTGAGATTGAAACCCCAACTGCATTTATTTCAAGATCTTGCGACGGTGAACAGTTATGTGCATTCAATCCATGTTGTCGAACTATAGATATCACTTTTTCCAACGTCCCAAGAGCTTCTTCCACCTCAGGACGGATATAAACTTTTTTTTTGCGATCTAGGCAAGACATCTCCCCCACATCTCCATTTGAAGGGTTAATGATAAGATCATTACCTCCCTCAATGCCTTCCTCACTCTTCACCTCCTCGATTTCACCATAATTGCTGCTATATTGAGGCAGTTCATCATTTGGCTGAAATTCTCCTGCACTCTGATCGATTGGAATATCTTGATTTACATCCTTTATGTCATCTTCCGCAATATCTACAATATCTTCGTGGATGAGAACTTTTGCCTTGTCCTCCAGCTTATTGTATTCCAGACCTCCATTTTGTTGATTCATACTATAAAAAGCTTTACGTATTCGATCATACAGAGGGTCGTTCAAAGCCTGCTTAAAATCTTCATCCGACTTGAATACAGAAGCAACTGCCTGTATACAACAGATTGAAATATGTAGCAAAGGTGAATCTACTGACTATGGAATATGCAGGAATTGTCAAAAGCTTTGCTGATGGACATTATCAATAGCACCTGTCACTTCATTAATTCATTATCCATTTCTACGTGTGTTATTATTTTTCTTTAATCATCAAGTCCTTTTAGCTGAGGTTTGCCATTCCATTTTTTGCTCCACAAAAGAAAATAATGAATGTCAAACTAGCCAAAGAAAGGGGCTCCCTGACACACCTTCTGATAGAGTCTAAACCCACTGCCAATGAGCTGCCTCGCTATAAAGTTTATGAGGGATGGAGGAACAAAATCCAGCTTTAAGTCCACGTTTGCAATCGTACTGCAAAAGTTGAAGTCAGAACAATTAGAGGTCGTAAATTCAAGGAGAGAATTAGCAATAGAAGTGAGCCTAATCACTGTTCTACAGGAACAGAGAGGCAGAAGAGCTACTCTTTTGATCTTATATCTTTATTGCACCTAATCATCTTTCTTCCCACCTCTAAACATGGTATTGTTGGAGAGTAATCTTTTATCTCCAATTTCCCCTCTTTTTTGCTGAAATTTCCCACTGTCAATGTAGGCTATATTTGTAGTTCAAATCTACAACTCATGTAGAGTCTCTTAATTACATACAAAAAAAGTCACTAGCAGAAATTTCTGAATTGCGCTTTTTACGGTGTCTCACACCAGCAAATCAACTTCGGTTCTATGTGTTCTTGACTGCATCATTCACCTTTTATCTTTCACCAACAGAACTCCAATGTAGCTACTCTTTAGATTCTCTTTTTGGCCAAATCAATATAGCTACTTAGTCATCCACGGGATAATTTGAGTACTGTATGCAGTATGCTCTTTATCAATGCTTACCGAAAATAACTTCTTTCAGGAGTCACCTTTTGTAAAGCAAATCCTCCAATCACACCAATCCTTGTCACATCTTTTGCCTCGGGTATCATGTCTCCAGTGTACCCATGAGTACTTTTGTCGATTTTCTCTGTTTCGGATATCTAACGGAAATTGTAAACATGATAAGAATCGTGAAAAATGCCAAAATTCAAGGTAACTGACTTCTACAAGAAAGGAATAATCTCATTGAACTTGACCGTTGAGTTTAGAATAATCATTACCGAGTTCAAGATTACGATGATTAGGTCATCTTGGAAGTACTCGAACTCAAAGAAGTGCACAATAGCCTCCCTAGCTGACAGTGGCCATGACACCTTCACCCTTTCTTACAAAAACAACCATGGAAGATATCAAAACTATGAAGGAGAGAAGAATTATAGTATGTCCTTCAATAGCAAGATCTAGAAATACCTCACTGATGATATCTGTTCTCCAATACGGATCTTCTGGAGACATTTACTAGAAGTAATTTTGAAGGCTGGCATAGTATACTGGGGCCACCTGGGAAAGCCATAAATCAAACCGAGACTGTCATCTATGTAGCTCAAATAGCTTATTCCATGTTTTGGTCTAATGGTTATAGTGTTCAACTTAATGCAATCAATGAAATCTCATTTGCTTCAACCTCCAAGCATCCATCTATACATTGCAAAGTTAGGTATTCTGAAACAGAAACTACAAGCATTCACTATAAGTGATTCATCTGTTAGTTTATGAAGCTACTCCTGATTAAGGTTCCAGTTCTAGATCATTCGTTAAAATGGTGCAGATTTGTATTACAAACCTAGGCAAATTCATAATCTCCCTCTCTTAAACAGTAGGATTGCAAGCCTACGCATGCTTTTGGCAAATACAAAGAAAAGACGCACATATTACTGGTTCCTATTGCATGTGAACACATGTTACCCAGTACATGAGCAACCCCCATGCCCCAATAATTTCTCTTCCTTGTTCTTCAATATATTTACATTGTATACTCTTTTTGTTGCTAAAGCATAAAAATTGTTCTCTAAAAAGCATTAGGTTGTTAAGCCAGATGTCAATGTGTAAGAATCTCCTAAGCAGAAGCAAGATAGTAAAACAAAATAGATAACTGGATAATCATTACTAAAAATAATGCGTTAAAAATGAATCAACACGAGACAGTGATGATGCGGAAAACTCTTACCACTTCTTATACAGGGCGGACTCCCATGAAAGACATAAACCTGCAAAACTATCGAGTATGCTCAGCTTCTTCTTTGTATGTAATTATGTGGTCAAAGCATGAGTCTCTGGGAATTATGTCGAACTTACAAGTATCCATGGGGCCATCCACATAGCCTTCTACAAGTAATGTATGGTATGGAGTTCCTTCGGGTCCTTCTCGATACATAACTCGGAACTCCTCATTATCTTGTTTTAACTGTCAAATGGAGAGAACTCACATCAACATCATATCGATCAGAAGTTCATAGCTTCCAAAAGGTGGATTATTCCAAAGAATAAATATGAAAAATGAAAATCAACTAAATGTTGAATAAGAGATCTTTTTATCATGGGAGGAGTTAAAACATTAAAGCAACAGAACAGTACACGTTGGCTCAAATGTTGTCCGAAAAATGCCTCCAAGTTTTGTAAAGACATATAAACATGAAGAATTTTGGATCAAAAGAAAGCCAAAGCAACAATAGTAACATGCTATCTTGCAACTACGAGACAAGCCTACAATTTGCACAAGCTATGCAAAGGTAAAGCTTATTGCCCAAAGATTGAGAGACGTAGAAATGATGATCAGATTATTCTGGAACAAAGGTCACTCAACTGAACAAGTTTTCTACAAAGACAGACGAATTGAGAGAAAAGATGTTTGAGATAGAATTTCACAATCAAGTAAATTGGACTAAGGAAAAACTTTAGATTGCTCACAAACCGAAAGATTACATTTTACATACTTTCCATTCAGCACGTGACGTTTGAGAAGCTTTTGATCCGTCACTGCCAACAGAAGCACTTCTCAACATATCCAGAAAATGAGAGACTTCCTTAGTCCTCCTCTCCAGTAGAATCTCAGTACATACTTCAAAAATCAAATTGCCTCAGTGTCAGAAATTGTAAAATCCAGATCAACCTTCTCAAACAGCATCCTTCACGAAAAAGGCCAAGTAATAGCACACAAGACAAATCACTAACGTCATCAAGAACCCGCCATAGAGTTTCTACCTTCATTTTCTTCCAGTGAAGAACGTTGGAGATGATCTTTCACCAGGTTTTTAAGCGTGTCTGCATTTGTCAAATCAGGAGATGCCAGAGTCCTATCGAGCCTATCCCTGTACTTGGTGATTCTTTCACTTGTGCCCATCTTTGCATCTCCAGAAAAACTAGATCCGGAATCAGAACTTTCAAGCCTTCTTGTGCACCATGAACCTCAAACAGAATTCACAATCACCTCCTGCACTCGAAACCATCCCAAATTATCTCGACTTCAGCACCACAATGAACGTTTCTGATAAAAAGCTATCATAATTGTGCGAGAGTTCTCACAACTTGCATCACAGCCAACATGGAGACAGAAACATGACTGGATCAACAATATTATTCTAGAATAGTAAATGATGTAGAATTGCAATAATTGTTGACTTTGAAAACTTTCAAAGTCCCCAACTTGCGGTCCTACGAACACGCCTTTGTTGAAAAACACTGAAACCTTCTAGTTGCTCCGTTGGACCAGTATTAACCTACCATTCCAAATCCAAATCGTATAATTTCATCCAGCTCCCATTAGCAAAAATATAACAACCAGCTAAATCGCAAAAACTCTCATCCCAAAAAATAAATTCAAGTACCCCATTAGTAGACCACCTGAAGCGAGCCAGATGAGAGCACCAAGAATTCAAACAGAGCCTGATCACACAAGCAAAGCACAAAGCCAACCGACCCAAAAGAGAAAAAGAAGAGAAAGCCAAGCATCAAGCAACCACTCTCAGTAGCCCAAAAGTTACTCACGCAGAAACTGGGGAATCACCACCCACCCACCAACTACCCAGCTCCAAAAATGGCTTTCCCCGATCTCGACAGCTATGGATCACTCGATTACTCGTGTCAAGAAAGGGAGGGACAAGAGCCACCGGCTGCTCGAACGCCCAGACGGCTATGGAACATGTGCCGGTATCGAAGTTAACGAACACCAGACAGAGGGCAGAATTACCGATGAATTCGAATGGAACCCACCAATCCTTCCTCAATGGAAAGAGAGAGAGAGAGAGAATATAGATACGGTCAAATCACGGAATAAACAAAAAGCAAGCAAGGTAGCTGAGTCACTTGGCTTCAGCACAAGGGTAAGGTACAGCTGGTGCTATAACAACTCCAAGTGGGACCCCACAGAGAAAGAACAAGAAACCAACGACGCGGGTAAGAGAGAGAGATTCCGCAAATTACAGAAGTGGGAATTTAACGTGGGGTGACCCAGAAGAACGGTTGGGACAAATTCATTAACTTTGAGGAAGTGGAAGGCGGGCGTGCGGGCGTGCGTGTGTGTACTCGTTTCTTGCACGCACGATCGCTCGTTCGCTCGCTCTGGGACGGAGAGATCGGGACTCGCATTGAAGAGGGGAGACAGGAACACGTGGAGGTGCGAAGGGTGGCAGTGATGGGGGTCGACGCCTCGTTGTCATGGCGATCCACACGGCAGAAGAAGAAGAAGCTACGCCTCTGCTTTGACCCCACACAGTTATTGCGTACGCCTTCCGCGGTCCGCACATCGATCATGCTAAGTAAGAACATATTCGGATTTTAAGGTGTAATTGTGCTGTGTTACCAAGAATAGTACCTGCTTTCCCGACTTGCAATCTTTTTTTTTTTATGATTTAATAAATCTCTCGAGGTCACTTTTTAACAAAATGACAACACACGAATAGTTCCTGAATTTTAGTCTAATATTTAACGTGTGTTTAACTTTTAATTTGTTCAATATAATATTTAAACTTTAGCTTAATGTGCAATGTCGTCTATTAACTTTTACTTTATTCAATATGATCTCTAATGGACTATATGAAAATATTAAATGTAATCCTTCATTAATTCAAACTAACGGAATTTGTTGATTTGGCTTCCAATACGGTGAGTTTGAACGGTGGACAAAAAACACGTTACACTTGAATTGTTTGCATATAATCCTTTTAATTTGTTTAATTTGTTCAATTTGAAAAAATAATTATCAATGGTTTTTGATGACGTGAATTATTATATCCTGATTTGAGTTGAACATCATATGTGGATGATCCATGTGTAACGTTATTTTTTTTTTTTGCACGATTCAAACGTACCAGGTTGGAAGCCATATTAGCAAATTCTGTTAACTCGAATTAATAGAATGATACATTGGATATTTTCAAAAATTATATGGACTAGATCAAATATTTACCAAAAGTTCAGTGCCACATGAACAAATTAAAAGCTCAGGGATGACATTACACATTTGGCCAAAATTTAGGGACAGCCACATTGAAGAAATTAAAAATTCGAAGACGACATTGCACATCTAGCCAAAGTTTAGGGAACATTTGTGTAATTTTCCCTTCTTATCAAACAAAGAGTAGGAGTAGTTGGGAAAGGTGTAGAGAAGGAGAACATTAGTTGAGTTTGATACTTAGACTTTGTTTCGCAGAAAACATTTTCCTCATTTTCTGACGTTTAGTTTACTTAAAGAAGATGAGTCAACTAAAAATACTTAGTCAACGAAAACCTGTCATTAAATTCAAGAAAATGACTTCTTCTTTAAAAATCGAAAATCATTTTTCAAAATAGACTCAAAACTCTATGCTTGGGCAAGAAAATCCCAACGTTGGTTCCCGAGTCCTCGGCATCCAGGACCAGGTCTCCGATGCCCTGGTCCGGTCTATCGAGGCCAACCTGCGACCTTGGTGCCTATGTCCGAGTCCCTAGCCCCGCGCTTGGGTCCATTGAGGTCAAAATCGGGACACCCGTGTCCGTGCCTGGGACTCCGGTGTCCGCACTTGGGCCCCCGATGCCCACTTGGGTCCATCAAGGCTAGGCCTAAAGCCTCGATGCCTTACCCGATGTCACGACACCAGGGCTCAAGTCCATAAAAGGCCAAGAGCGGGATCATGATACCTAAGCTTAAATCCCAACACCCTGGCCCAGGCCCACAGAGGTTGTGTCTGGGTCCCCGATACTCAAGCTCTAGTTCCCAGTACTCAAGCACAAGTCCTCGATGCTTGGGCTTGGGTCCCTATTGCTAAGCTGGGATTTATCAAGGCCAAGGCTCGGGACCACGGCGCTTGTGCCTGGGTCTATTAAGGCCGGGCTCAGAACCACGATGCCCTTGCTCATTTATATAGAGGCTAAGCCTAGTACTCGGTGCTCGCACCTTGGTCCATCAAGGCCGAGCCCAGGACCTAGGTGCCTGTGTCACGATCCTCAGAGCCCGGGTCAGGGTCCATCAAGGCCAGATCTAGGACCCTAGTGCCTGTACCCGGTTCTCAATTTGTCCATCCGTAAGTTATTAGCACCCAAATAATGCATGTCTGTTGAGAAAAATCAAATCAGATTTTTCATACTAAATTATGAAAAATATTTTTCATTTTATTTTTAGGCTTCAGCTAAATATCAGACATTTACCGTCATTTTCTCGGATGACTTTCCGAAGAACATTTCTAAAAAATGTAACATTTCCTAAAAACAAAGAATGCCTTGGGCATTGCGAAAGCATTAACTTGATTGTCCTCATCTCCGATTCTCTCCGTCATAAATACTTTTCGTATGGTAAGATCCTTCCCCCCACTTTATGACAAGCCAAAGTCCCACAGAAACTCTAAAGATGTGCATTTCCAAATTAAGCAAGAAACGTCATTCTTGAGTCAACTATCATTCGAGGTACAGAAGAGAGCAGTAGAGAAGGGAGTAATGACTATGCAATGGTACTTGGTGCTCGAATAATTAATGCCATTGATTTCGATAGATGAACCCCCTTTCACGTGGACTTCAGTGCGGAGGTTGGGATTCTAGCCAATTTTGTGACAGAGTTGACGGGCTCGCATAGTTGTCCACATCATATCATTCTCTATTCGTACGGATTCGTGACCTTAGCGGTACGCACCCGTTAGGCGATTCATTAATTTTCTGAAATTACAAGTGAGTCGATGCAAATCTGTGATCTAATATGTATTCATCAACTTAAGCAATGCTAAAGATTGTATTTTGATAGTCACTGCATAATTAAATGTGAACTTTACACTTTATAAGGCAATGATAATGACATATAAATATTTGTGATTTTTAATTTGAACGTAATCTTTTGTTTTAGCAAAATAAACGAAAAATTAGATGTTCTCATGCATAGGTAACATCACATGCGCTCGAAAATTAAGATTTCATTTTCCATGATCATAACGCTTACATGAAAACATCATGTCTTATAATAGATAAACACGAAATACTACTTTTAGGTAATTTGTCGAATCCTACTGTCAGATTCGATTTTCAATACACAGATTCAGAAACTGAGAAAACAACTTAAATTCACGCTAAACATCTTGATGTAACAACAATGAGGACTCATGTTTTGCCTGAAAAAAGGACCCAAAAAAAAAAAGGAAAGGAAGGCATTGAATCCCTTTCTTTTTTATTTAGGATGCATTTGTTTCATGAAAAATGAATGATTTGAAAATATTTTCTTAAAACAATTAATTGTATCACTTACAAAATTGAATAGACGAAAATAATTTCCATCATTCACGAAAATATTTAGATGTAAATCGTTGTCGATAATGAAACATTTCTATTGACTAATTATTTCAAGAGATACAGACGATCATTTTAAAAATATATATTTTTTAAATTATTTATTTTTTTACGAAATAAGCAAATAATCCATTATGACATGTTCGATGGGAGATGATACAGGAGCCTTGGAAGGGTTTCTTGCTGACCTTCTTCAGAACAGGACTAGTAAAATACCAAATTAAACATCGGTATGTTGAGTCTATGACTACGACGGTGATGCAATTTTTTCCTTTTCTGGTCAAAGACGGTGATGCAATTCAAAAGTAGAGAAAATCAATAGAACATAACTTCTTACACTGTCCAAGTTTGACCTGTGCATGATAGTTGGTCAACAAATTCTATTGATTATGGCGAAAAATGAATGATAATTTTCTTTAAAATAATCGCTTGGATGATTAAAATAATCAGTTAATATAAATGTTCCATTATTATTCACAATTTAAGTCTAAAATATATTCACGGATTATGGGATTTTTTTTTGTTCGTTCATTTTTTGTAAATGGTTATTTTTAGGAAAATATTTTCCAAATCATTCATTTTTCGCAAAACAAACGCACCCCTGAGGAGGAAAGGAAGTACTTGGAAGGAGAATACAACTAATTCTTATTCTTGATCAGAGTAAGAATTAGGTCGATAGAACAGACCTTTCATCCGCTCCCATCCTCAATCAGTTGTAGGTACTCTTTTGCTTTTCCGGGATAAAGGCTGGTGTTCCAATAGGCAAGGGCATTCGCCTTTTTAATTGTTGTCTGTTTCCCGTTGTTTCGATCGAAATTTTGAAGAAGCATAAGATCACTCGATGACTTCCTAAAATTCTCTCCTGAGCTCAACCAATCCCCAAGACTAATAGATGCTAGTTGGTTCGATCATAGTGTCCACTTAGATTGAAAAACTCGTGGAATTTTGCATCGAGGAACTCGATGTATTCCCGGAACACAATCAATCGATTCACTCGTGAGTCGGTTTTTGTTAGAAAGTCCAACCCAAAAGCTTAAGCTATTAGGTAGATGGAGACCACATGCATATAAAGAGCATTTAGGACACGTTGTGGGATAATACTTCAACACCCCCACTCACGTGTAAGCCGGATTACGAGCAACACGTGAAATTTTGACAACACGTGAAATTTTGACATCGCACGTTCACATGGAATTTTTACCATGCACATTCGCGAAAGGGATAGTATTGACTCTGATACCATGTTAGAAAGTCCAACCCAAAAGCTTAAGCTATTAGGTGGATGGAGACCACATGAATATAAAGAGCATTTAGGACCCGTTGTGGGATAATACTTCAATAGTTTTCAAAACAAGGATGGTGAATACAGTTTCTGGAGATGAAAGCCATCGGTTTTGTGGCTCTCTTTCTTGCCTGAAAGACACGGCATTATCATCGTTCCAATGGAGGCTTTGGTAGTTTAGTTTGGTCGTGGCTTCTTCCTGAGGTTTGATCAAAGTCGAAAGGGACACTTTGGAGGCTCGGTGGACCTGAATGAATGGGACTTTGATCTTTCTATGTCCCCAACCTGCATTTCTAGAAGTAACCCGCCCTTATAATTAAGGATAATGACATCAGTGGTACCTAAATTTTGGATCAATGTACAATGTGATCCATAAACTTTTAATTTATTCAATAAGGTCCATAGACTTTGGTATATGTTCAACTTAGTCCCCGAACAATACGAAAATGTTTAATATTATCCTTTCATTAATTCAAGTTCAAGGACGACATTGAACATTTTCATATAGTTCGGAGACTCAATTGGAAATGTACCAAAAGTCCGGAGACCACATTGAACAAATCGAAAGTTCAGGGACCACATTGCGCATTTGACTACAGTGTAGGGACCACATTGAACAAATTAAAGGTTCAAGAACCACATTACATATTGAACCAAAATTCAGAGACTATTTGTGTTATTTTTCCTCATAATTGCTACCGAAAAAGCATACGAGACTAGGTGACAAAGAGAAAGAGACCCGAGAATGAAAGTATGCCCGATGAAAGTTGGGAGAGCCCCACCAATGTGGCCGTCTGGAAAGATGAAGAAAAAGAGCTCTTGGAAAGAGTCCATGAGACCGCGGCTAGGTACCGTCAACCCTTTGCCGTATGATGCACTTTTGTTTTGAGGGAAGAAGAGATCTAGTTCTTTGACTTTGACATGAGGAGCATCTTACCTTTCTTCAACACCAAAAGAGGCTGAGTTTGAATCCTTGAACCCTAGGAGGTGTTGGAAAAAGAGGTGATTACAGTAAGAACACAAGACCATTATGGTCTTACGTTGTATACGCTAGTCCTTCGTTAGATTCAAAAGCAAGATGGGACAACAGAATGAAACGGGGAAAAAAGACCATCCCCAAAAAACTAACTTAACCATCTGCAATAGCTACTCGTGCATAATATAGTCCAGAATGTAACCTCCTGGTCCTAGCCAACCCGGTTCTTTTACTCGCGTCTTATGGTAACCAGAACCGAGCAAGCAGGACATGCCACTCCGGTTCTTCACAGTAACAATTAGATAGCTCATGGACGCAAACTAAAACAGCATCGATTTTCTATTTGGCCTTCTTCCAACTTGGAAAGGTTAAATGATGTTTCAGCTTTATTTTTTCTGTCAATCAAATGTATTTACACTACCCCAATCGAATAAATCAGAACACTTGCAGTTTTCAGGGGCTGTACAGTGTCGAATCTTCTATGCTTCCACTCTTCCTTTGAATTCTCTTGTATTCCAAGCTGTACTGTAAAAATAGTAATGTATGCCGTCCAAAGCTCTTCAAAAGTAGAGGATATGGCAGAGTATAGGCGGCTCTTCATTGCACCTGCCTGATGTTATCACTTATGAACAACTGTACATCTGCAACAATATCCACCAGTCATGCTGCTGGGACCCTCCTGTAGAAAAGGACGTAAGCAGCAGATGTCTTTATCCCTTCTTCATTAATAGGGAAGACCCTCTCATCATCGAACTCATACCATCGATTGTGCCCATGCTGCAGATTATTGGAGTTTCCACGAATTAAACAATGTAGGCCAGAGAAAAGAGCTTGTCAATCGAGGTTCTCACAATTATTATAACTCTACAATCTGGTGCCAGTATGAACACAACTGAGCTTGCAGAAAAATTAAAAACACGGAGGATGGTGATAAGCTTACATGAGTCCCAAACAAAACCAAGCTCAAGCATGCGGAAAATGCATATAGAACTGAGATGAAACGATCATATTGGAATGAGTTTTTGACACAGAATCACGAGTCTCAAGCAACTGTGGGTATAGAGAAGACAGATTTGCAAGCTGAAAAATTGCACAAGAACTAGAGAGAGAGAGGAGAGAAGACCCGTTTAATTGCTATGACTATAGGTATCAAAACAACCCCTTCTCTAGCAATAAATCTCCCCCAAAGAACTGACCAGGAATGACTAAGGTGGATTAAAATCAGTTTAGTTGATAATTACCAAAAATTACTGAACTATCGGCCAGTATTTGTGAATACTAAGGAAGGATCTAAGTTGAATTCAAGGTAAGGCAGCGACCATTATACAACTGGATAAAAAAGTCCATCATCAATGTCAATTAGAGACAAGATTTGACACAACAGAAAAGAACAAGACTACAAATATAATGCTGATGCAGGATCATAATCATATTGTAGTAGTATTAAATGTTTCTCTCCTTTATCTAGTCTTTCCTTACGCAAAATTACATGTCCGTCATTCATGAAAGCCTTACGGTTGCAACAGCTATCAGAAGAAAAAACAAGGAAGCACGAGAGCATTGATATTGCATGTTTCTTTTGTGAAGAATTGGTTCATTTAGCTCATGACTGTCCAGCTAGGATTTATGCTACAAAGAAAGAGGAACAAGCATATGGAATGGTGAAGAAGATAAAAGAGAAATCAAGGACAAAATAAAGAAGCAATCTGTCGTGAAAAATGATATTGTGATACCAAATATTTAGAAAATTTATTAAATTAGTTTGTTCTGCAAGTTCTCACTAGATTTCAAGAGCGACTAGAAGGATTAAGATCGTGTAGATACGTATGATGATTCCACATCTCAGAACTCGAGGTCAAGTTTTTCCCAATCAGGAAAAACAAAAGGCGACATTGACTTAAAAGAATGATATTTATAGAAAGTTCATGGTGAAACGGTTGGATGAATTTGCTGCAGAAAGTCCATGGTTTCTGAAAAGGGGATGAAGGAGATTGATCACGAGATATATGCTGAATCTGTCAAAGGTTATTATCACCGCGCCCGAGTGTTTCCAACCTTGGGAGAAGGATACAAGAGCATTAATCATTTTTAGAATTTAAAGGTTCTCTTCTTATTTAAGTCTCTGCTTATGTTATTAGGTTAATAAGTGCTCATGCCATCATTGACTTTTAATGAGGTTGGGTGCAAGAAATCAGAAGTGGTCGTGTTAAATTAAGGCTTGATATCATCTTATGTATGTAATTATAGTGTCAATAGATCTTTTAATCACTTTTTCGTCAGTTTTTTCTTTTTTCAATAAACATTGTTGACTTCGCTAAACCCTACAGTGTCTATTCTCTGTTCCGGCTTCAATTTCTCAATTCTTGCCTTGTATTTGGCTGCTTCCACTGTCTTTACTTCCCTAACTACATTAAACACACTAGTAGAAACTTCTGCGCTGCACAAAAAGGCCACGGACATTTTGTAAATGGTGGAAGTCCAAACAAAAAATTAAATGAACAAGTAGACATTAAAATGTTGTGGTCCAAACATACGATTCCTTAGGTTGCACTAAAGCCTTCTGAATAACTAGCTTCAACATACTTTTTCTAACGTATACATTAAGATTCATCCGGACTCTGCTTTTGCAACAAATTCTACAAAGAATCTAGGAGAAATTCCTCGATGCAAAGGAAACAGAAAATCATGAATTTACCTAGAGGAGAAAAAGACACTTACATAAACAAATGCTGTATAATGACCACCTCCCAATCCTCCATAGTGATTGCTAATAGCATACAACACGTAGCGACAGGAGGAAGGAGAACTTCTGTTAGCAATGTAACTTGAAAGGTCAAGATCCTCGATGAGGAAGTCGACAAATGTTTCGAGTTTGTTCTTGAGGAACTGGCTGTATGAAAACCTTTTCAAATGAACAACCAGAATCTCAGGCAATCTCCAAAGGTCCAGCTTTTTGCTGGCTTGCTGATGTTGTTTGCAGCTTGGACAGTACCTAATTCACATAGAACTTCAACATTTAACACCTCAAAACATATCTATGTTAATCGTCATTTGAATAAACGTAAATATAAGATATATCATTTGCCAGCACATCTGTTCTTTCAAGTAGACAAATGAAGATGTGACAATGGGGAAGGCCAAAAGTAACTGCAAATAAGCTGCAGAGCATCAACCCAAATGATGCAGCTTTCGAGTCAAAGGGTTGGCCCAGCTGGTGAGGCCACCCAATTCCCAGGTATAAGATGTGGGTTCAAGTCAGATTCCCCCACTTTCTCCTCGCCTCGTGTTAACCAAAAACAAAACTCCATATGCTTTAACAGTGTGCTACCGTCTTCGAGATGTACAATCGGTAAAAAGGTTTAGATGATGCAACAGCAGAAGCTATTACAAAAAAAAAAAAAAGACACAGACTAACCACATGTCCTCTGGCCCTAGAGGCTCCTCCTTCAAGAAGGCTTCAAGGCATTTGTACAGGGAAACAGACTCTGGAGGCCTCCTGTTAAACAACTGGGGCTTATAAATCTCTGGCAAAGAACCAAGGAAGCACAGATCATATTTTTCAAGCATTTGCTCTGGCCAAAAAGCACGAATTCTTAAGCTCCTCCTAGCCCTTGAGACAACTATTGGCTCAGACATCCTTAACTTGGAGGAGCCTTCTAAGAAAAGCTCAAACTCATTTGGACCATCCACCATTTCAGCATCTGATTCTGTGTCACAGGGGCTCTGAGTATCCTCCATCTCGGAATCTTCACAAGCAGAAACAGAATGCTCAGCATCATCATGATCATATGATGAATCTTCTGTGGGCTTAAGGAATGGGTTGATCAACTTGAGAAATGCTTGCCGAACATCATATCCACATGAAATATCAGTAAGCCTTGCCACGAGAGGAAAGCCAAACATCCGAGGCTCTGCCCTCCCAGAATAATTATCCCTGGCAATCAAATAATTGCAGAACATAAATAAAACAATCAGACAATGAATCCTGGAAACAAGATACTAGATCATCCCTTCAATGAAAACATCACAAGAAATTCTACAGAAAATCTTACCATAAACTTCAAATTACCAGAAATAAATAATAGAGGCTCAGAGAGTAGCTGGATGGTACTTGTGGCATAATCAGATGTTCGATTGGCCAGAAGAAATAACAGGACTTCAAATGGGCAAACATGTTTTAAGCATACCTTTCAGCCTTCTCGTGCATGAACTCAACAAGAACTGATGTCTCTGAACCCTTTGGTAAGCGATAAGCAACAATTTGATCATCATCTCTGATCAAGTCTATTGAATCAGATGGTTCCTCCAAGTACCGAAGAATGCGGTAATTATATACCTAGAAATCAACAGGATTCAGTAGTTACAATGAAGTTTGACAGAAAGTCCAACCCAAAAGTTGAAGCTATTAGGTGGAGGAAGACCACATGAATATAAAGAGCATTTAGAACCCGTTGTCAATCGATGTGAGATAATACTTCAACACCCCCACTCACGTGCAAGCCGGATCACGAGCAGCACGTGAAATTTTGACGACGCACATTCGCGAAAGGAATAGCATTGGCTCTGATACCATATTAGAAAGTCCAACCCAAAAGCTTAAGCTATTTAGTGGAGGGAGACCACGTGAATATAAAGAGCATTTAAGACCCGTTGTCAATCGATGTGGGATAATACTTCAAAAAAGTTATTCTTTCTGACATCTTCTCTCTCCCTTTACAGAACTATATGAAAGAATCCAAGCATGTATGAGACCAAGTAAGAAGCAACACACTTCCGTGGACACAAAAGAAAGACAGACACAAACATATGTGCCATATTTATACTAGATTCAACATCATCTGACTATCGTCTAGGTCATGTAAGTAGAACTTAGAATGTAGAGGAGTAATCCGATTCGACCAGATCAAAAATCATGTATAGCCTTTAAGATAGGCCTGCTTGCGAATCAAATTTTCCCAGGACAAGGATCACGCAGAGCACTTCTATGCCCCACACGAAACTGCTTAAGCGGAAGAAAGATAGGGATTATTAAATTAAATGCCTCGACATATTATCCCACTTAAATATGCAAGATACAACTACATACCTCAGCCACCAGCAGGGTTTCATCATCCCTTAGGAAACATACGACACTCAAAGCCTGTGTAAGGTCCTTCAAACTTCCACAATTGGGAACTGATACTGCTAAAGGAGATGGTAATGCAACCCCATCAGTACTTACTACAGTTACAGTCATCGAGCGCATTGTTGTTGAAGGCAATGGCAGTGATAGGTACATAAATGGATCGAAGGTAATGGACACCTTTTTGCACATAGGGCAAACCAACTTTGACCGAAACTGACCCTATAACAGCATAAGTCAATTAGTTAAGAATAATTGAAGATTAGCCATTTTCAGCTGAAGAAGCATAAATTGCAACGTTCTTATTCAGTCTAAAAGCTACCAACAGCGTCATTGAGTTATGCCATAATCTAACCATTTCATGGAAAATTCTCTTTGGAGCACCAAGGAGATAAGCAATAGGATGATGTTTTGAATTTTAGGAAACCCTGAAGCCATGAAAAAACTTACTTGACACGCATCTACAATGATGGAATCATTTCGTGCCAGATGACTCTGCCAATATTCTTCTGCAACTTCCTCATCAGGACGGTCTGCCGCATCTTTCATCTCTATGTATGGTTTCTGCTTTACACGGTTTAAGTCTTCATGGAGGCCATCCAACAAGAAAGCAAGAAATTCCTAGATAAAAAACTTGAGATTCAGACAAATCTTTTGATTACCCTACATATTTCAAAAACTTGAACATTGAATACAAGTTTGTCAATGTTCCATCAATTTACAAGTTCATGAAAATTTCATGCAAACACCCACATCTGAAGAGCAAGAAGATGCAACTAACTTGAGAATCATGTTGGTTATAGCCACTGAATTGAGGAGCAAACTTCGCTAGTTTTGATTTGAAAGCTCTGGGGGCAACAGGGTTAATTCCTGGAGACCATAGCTTTCTTAAAAGTTCTCCAAAAGCCAAAGCAAGCTCTCCCTGGAGAAGAAGCTATTACTACAGATGGGAGAGTAAAAAGATTGCATTATTACCAAGTAGTACTTTCTTCTACTGTAAATTGTCAAGTAGGCCAACCTGCATTCCTAGAGGGTTTGTGGAATTTATTTCTCTCCTGTAATCTCCAAGGAAATAGTCAACAACCTTTGGCGTATGAACAAGGCACTGGATAGCACTATTCATGAAGCAAGTATTACCAAGATTTTGGAGTCCTTTTAGGCCCAGAAGGCCAGTCTCTCTGTGATAACCATCAGATTCTGATAAGCCATATGTTCTACCATACGGTTGTAAGATGTCAATGCTCCCATTCAACCTTAATATGCCGCTAGAAAAGGTACCCCCCATTCTAGAGTCGGCAAATGTTGTATCATCCTCCCTCCTTTGCATGCCATTCTTGGACAAACCATGGACTTGTAATTCCAGCAAAATCTAGAATAATGAGCAAAAATATATGTAAAGAGGGTTTCCTATGCAAAGATCAGCAAACTTGTATACAATAAACGGCTAAGAACTAAAAGCAGTATCCTCAATATGTGCAAATGTCACACGAGAATGAACAGTTTTCTTGTTAGAAATTGTTGAAAGATAAAACCAAATATAGCATCTAGAATTCTTCACTTTATCAACATATGGGAGCTTGAAGTAGGGACCTCCGCATGATTACTCTTTGTAAGGAGCAAACTTATTCGGAGATCATGTGCTTTACTCAAAGTTCTGGTTACCGTTAATCCGAATTATACACGCTAGCCCTTGGAACTCAGAGATAACTTTTTTCTCACTTACCAGAAAAAAAGAAGAAGAAGAAGAAGAAGGCAGGATTTGACTTAGAGATCAGAATATCCATGCATATCAGATCACTCTATCCCATGCCATAAAAATATGTAATCTAACATTTTACCAATGTATACCAGATCAGATAATTAAACTGGCAGCCCATCTGGTCTCCAGTCGGTTAATTAATACTGCTTGTGGTGAAGACCAGTCAAAAACAGAAGTTGACCAACTTCAATGAGTACAATGTGGCTATTTAAAGCTTACAATTGACAGTTATCAACGAAGGTTGCAAAGGAGGTTAATAATAGTCACTAAAAAAGAAATAACTTACTAATGGTTACGAGATGTTACAAAAAGAGGTTACAAAGAGAAGTTACAAATGGATATTACAAACAGAGGTTATGAACATTTACCAAACGGTAACATGGATGCTACTACGTTGACGGTTTCTTCGACTCCACTATGTTGACAATTGTTTTATTCCAATACGTTAATGGTTACTTTTTTAACAGTTGCATCTGAGATTGTCGACTCTACTTTTGTCGAAACCGTCATGATGTCAATTCTTCAAGTTATCACATGTCGATAATAACTAAAACTTGGACATTTTCAGGTGCAAGCAAATGCCACCGATATGCTAGCTAAGCCAATTGACCAAACCTAGGTATTTTAAACAAAACAAGACATCATTGGTGTAGGGATTCTCACCCACAACCCCATTTGAAATGTGTGCACTCTTGCCAACTGCGTTGCAGCTATCTCTAATATTTTTAGGGCAAAGAAACTACACCAATTTCAAGAAAACCAAGGCTGCGCATGGAAGAAGATGGAAATGTGTGTCTTCTTGCTGATTGAGTTGCAGTTATCTTTAATATTAATAGGGCAAAGAAACTTAATTCACCCATTACAAGGAAACCAAGACAGTGCATGGGAGAAAAGTCGAACCAATCTTAAATAAGCAATACATCCAGGCAAGCCTTCACTCCAACTTGACTAGGTGGCATTACTTTATATTTTTGTTTTCTTTTTATCTTCTTGTGGCTCTCGCGATTTGACGTTTGCCTACCACCTTTCAAAATGTACATATATCAACATGCAAACCAGTACAAAATTTCTTCTAAACTTTTTATAAATCAAAATGCTTTTCTTTTTTAAATAAAAAAAGAAAAAAAACAAAGATTTTCCTTTATCAGTACAGCCAAACAAACATTAGTATTACTAGACAACCTCACTTAAGTTGAAGTGGCCAGCAGGTCCAACCAATTAAACCCGATACTAGTCAGCAAAGAGGTTTACCTCCAGCATGGTTTTAAGATGTTGCATTCGAGTGTAGAATCCATATCATTCAACTCATCTCTTCATGACACCAAAGAATTACCTTTTAATGACATATTTGAACAACTGAAGCTATTAAGAACTCTTCTTCACCTTCTATTTAAGAGGTCAAAGAAAATGCCAGCGACACCACTTCTTCCATTCCATCACCAATTTAAACTTGGGACTGTTTTACAAAGATTAATCACATAAGATTGGCTGATGTAAAGTTGCATTGCTGAAAGTATGATATTCAAAGTCATTACCATCACAGGCTAATCATTCAAAATGTTAAGTCTCTTATAGTGGCGAGTCAATCCTTCAGACATTGTACATCTCTAACTTGCAATTGGACTTTACTTTAAGTTTCGAGTGGCTGTAGCCTATCTGGTCAGCACCCCCTTGTCCCCTATTTCACCATCAAAAATGGGGAGAACTCTCAAGCAAGATAATTCTCATTTTATCAATAGACAACTATTAAATGACGTAGAACTCTTAAATGGAATTTCACTAAACCTACTCATGGCTCAGACACAAAATGCTATTTGGTGTATTAATCAAGACAACATAATTCAGCAATCAAAATAGTGCAACCGGCACAGAAGCTTATCCTGCTGTTTTGCTTTCAGAAGCTACCGCAATTACCATAACAGGAAACTAAGTAAACATAAACAAATTGAAAAATGTACCTCTTGTCCTGAATGCCTAGGAGAGTCAGCAGCAAAGTCATTTCCATCATCCACGAAAAATAAGGTGGTCTGCCCTGAGAAGTCCCATAAGCGCAACTGTTCAAAGGTGATTATAAGTTAGTCATCAAAGAACCAATCTAGGACCACTTCACCTGCAAAACCAGAAGAATGTTGAATAACTTACCAGCTCAGTTCCGGGTCGAAAAATACTGCAGGCCTTCCTATAATACTCAATAGGATTATCCTGGAAAAAGTACATTCATTTTCATTAACAGATGGTATAGACGAGCAAAAACTGGGAATTTTCGGATTTTTAAATGGTGCAAACAAGAAAAAAGACACTTTTTTACTCCTCAATCGGGATGGGATGTGAAGTCAACCGACAGGACTAAGTTGGGTCTTGCTTACATGATGATGCCACAACCCACAAATTTTACATGGTTGTTACTCTTATACGGACCATAATTTGTAACTGAAAGACACTCGTGATATCAAGCAAAACAGGCAAACATTCGTGTTGTGAAAGGCAAAGAACCATGGGCTAGATGCTATGCACCTTCTGCGCCGCTAACTGCAATCACAATCACCTATACAAGTTCATCTTGTTGTAGTCCTTCATTAACTGAAACTTGTCGTAGTATTTTTCTTTTCCAGCCACTGAATCTTGTCCTAGTACTTAATGGAGCCTATCATATACACTTTCTTTCTTTCATACTATCCATGATGCATCTTTCAACAACACAACTTCTATGAAGGCAAATGGAACGAAGTTGATGGGCTATTTAAGGAAGAAAGCAGGAGTAAGTGAGGGAGACATAGGCAGCTTAAGGATACTTCTAAGCAAGGGGGTGGTCACTATGCATCGGAATACAAAACATGCTCAGTGAGTCACATGTGCCTTGTACTCCATCTTCTCCTTTAATAAATTCTGGAAGATGCAAAGTTCCTGCGCTAACATCTAGCTTTAATTCATTGGTTAAAGAGGCAAGCAAGCCAATTCTCAAACAAGAGCAGAATATAAAATTCCATCAGGAACTCATCATTTTCAAAGCTAGTTTAACATGTTAAAAAGCTTCTAAAAAATGATGAAACAACATAAGACCCTAGAGATCCATGACCATTAGAAGTAAATTGAAAGCAAATAATAGGTATGACATTGGGAGCACATGCTCTTTCCAGCAGATGGTGCTTGTAGGAGCTGTCAACCATGAGCAAGTAAAAGGATTACAATTATAAACAACCAAACAAGACAGAGGATTTCAGGAAAAACAAGATTCATTAATGGAAAGTAAGAGATGGCCGCAAAATCAGGACACCAGGTTCAAAGAAGGCTTCAGTACTTCCTTAAGTAACAGAGAGGAAATGAAAAGACATGCTTGTTGTTAACATTAGCATTCCTTTAATCAAATGGCAATTGGTCATTGATTGGTAGATTCAGTTCATCATTGAACCACTACAAGATTTTGAAATTATCCATCAAGCACTGGACATACTTCAAATCAACTTTTATGTTTGAAAAAAACTTGGTAAGTCATGTATAAGTTTACTCTTGTGTATAAGTTTACTCTTGTGTTTACTCCTATTATCATGTATAAGTTTACTCTTGTGACAAAGCATGTCCTCAATTTAACCAGTCCCAAAAGTATCCCTTTTCTGTCACAAATTTCCGGGTTGCATATGCAGAGATTAGGATTCTACAAAAATGCTTTCAAAAACACCCACTTTGAAAATCAAAAACTTAGACAAGGTGCTTTTCATGATTGCTTACTGGATTGAAGTATTAAGCTTTTCAAGTCACTAAATACATTGAAAGAAAACAGAATTTATATACTTCACCAAAAACATACTCTCAACTGTGAAAGCAACTAGTGATTATTCTGTCTGCTATGCTTCTCCCTCATCTGAAGTTCATGCACAGTCTAAATACCATTTAGCTTAATCAAGCTAATCCGTTCCTGATTCATTGGCTAGTGATGCAAACATATCAATATCTTTTTTTTTTTGGTTGGAATATCATTATCCTTTGCTAACTCAATTAGTCTATTTAAATCCACAAGCCCTTACCAACCCCGTAACTACCAGAAGACTAACTGCATCTTAAATTAAATTTTTCATATCTGCAGGGAATGAGTCAAAGCAACAATTTATTATATCAAAGGAATGAGATCATGTAACAGATGCTCAGAAAACATGAAAATAAGTACCGTTACTGTCAATACTGTCAATAACAATGATATAGCTAATCCATAAACTGTCATAAATTTGCAGCATATTGCATAATTATTCCCAACTAAAGAGCATACTCAGTAATTAGAGCACCATTAGCACAAGGAGTAGCTAGGAAGAGGTAACCCACCATTAGGCTTATACGTGCTCTCAATGATTTTGTTCCCTGTGAAACAGAAAGCCTGATCTGCAAAGGAAACACGTCGTGCATCTGGCTCTTTGCAGCTACAATTGTGCCGATATCATTCACTCCAATAGAGTCGCTGTGCCTGTAGAAAAGCTACACACATCACTTCTCACTTTTACACTTTGCTGCTGTAGGAAAGCTAGGCACATAACCTATTTATTTAGATTATAGACTCTTTTTTGGATATTAATTTAGTATATATATTCATATCCCAATTAAAGAAACAGTTCCTTTATTCACACCATCAGCTTCCAAAGGATAAATTACATGCTTGATCACCATGCCAGATGGTTGGCCATGCAAATGCAAGAGTGTCAAATCCATTATTTATGCATACGTGTCATCACAATGCCATAAATTTGCAAGTATAACCACAAAACTACAAGAAAAAGGTATGAGCATAGGATGACATGATCAATGCAGAAATTCTCTTGGAGAACACATTCATTTTGTAGCAGTTATCCAATTATGTACAGTTCTTGTTGTAAGAGGGTTTAACTAGATGCGTCTCATCATGCATTTCAGCAAATGTCACTTGTCAAAAGTTAGATTTAATGGCCTCCAAAAGAGTCGTATATTTCTGTTCCTCCTCTTCCTTCGTCTTCTTGATCCATCTTATCCTCCGCATCTCACAGCTGGGTCACACTGCTTACGAGATGGCATTTGTTTACTGATGGAAAAGCGTGTGCAATTCACTTTGGCTTCCCTGTGCTCAGCAAGTTGTGTTTCCATTTTGAAAGCTATGAGCTATCCCTTTGAAAATATGTTAACTTGAGATTGCCCAGGATATTCTTCTTGAATGCCTTGAGGTTAGAAGTTGCTAACATTGAGTTTGAGCATGTCTGGATATCTTTTTTGCTTTTCTATTTTATTGATGCAAGCGCTTTAACTTTTTTATAACCCCAAATGCATGAACCTTTTACAACACATAAATTTTGACATATAGAACTGCATATAATTTTTTCTCAATTTTTTGAAATTTGGATGACAGGTAAGGTTCTTTTGGCGATAAAGCAAAAAAGTGCTTTTGCTTATGCTTAATCCTAAACAACCAAGCTTAACTTTGTGAATAGTGCTATTAATCCAAGGTTAAGTGCTTTAATTACCATATATCCCTTATTAAAGCCGACACACGGTGTGACCTCCACATTATATAAAAAGTATATGCCTCCAACATAGAGCGTGAATTCCACGTTACATCAAAAGTAACTGCCTCAGCTAACTAGGTGAAATCTCAGCAATGCAACCGATGTAAAAGTATTAACCAAACAAAAAAATACTAATGTGAAGTTTATTTTAAAAACTGAAAACAATAAACAAACCGTATTTTATACTGAAAACATTTCGCGGTGACATAAGTTTTAGCGAGACTAAGTAGCCATAGTTCACCATGTTTTACAAAGAACGCCTTTTTCAGTAGCACACATTTAAGGAAACCATATTAAAAATATGTCAACTCACGATTTAAGAGTCTGCAACCATGTTGCTTCAGGAACTAAAGCAAACTCGCCGCCTGAAAACCCTTCTTCCTCATTATCACTCTGATGGTAGTTTTCCCTACTCATTTCCAGCAAGATCTGCTTGGCAGAATCTTCTTTTGAGGTAGTGGTGTACAAGGTACCCACTACTTCCTTCACATTGTTCCTTGTCTCTATCCACCACCTGAAATTTAGGGGCAAAAAGATGAGAATGCGGAAAGCAAAGATCCATCCTTCAGTGAACTGAGCTCAATACAACCTCTTTCCATGCCTATAAAAGGCATAAAATTTCTTGGGCAGCATTACGCAAAAACTGAAGCAAAACAGTGGAATCATCACTTGGAAAACTAAGAAGCTCTGCTGGTGAGGAGAGATTCATCGATTATACATAGATAACCATGTCGCCGATACTTCTTTATATGAACCCGATTGCTGACGAGACCGGACTAATTTTCAGAAGCAATGTCATCTCCAAAGCAACTTAAGTATGAAAAGCATTGTCTTTGAAAGACATTTATCAATTTCCATAGCTTCGCGTGTAGTGTGCCATTTATATGAGTAGGCCAGCTTTTGGCATACGCCATATAATGATATAAGGAACTCCTTCAGACAATTTGGAGCAGCTCCAACATTTTTGCCATGCAAAATCTCACGAAAGAACAGACCTTGCAAATCTAACTTCGATGATGAGGATTCTGTAAACAGTGAAACTTTCAGAAAAAAATACTAGAATTCCTTTGCCGCGATTATTCTTTTCCTCTGTTGAACTACATCATGCCACGCCTTTCGATTAATTCCCTTCTGAAAGACCCCAGTGACTAAATTGAAAGACAATGGGCATGCAAGTAACTTATCACTGATATCAGTATGGAAATTCATCCCACTAGAAGAACGCCGAAGATTCATCTCTGTGGCTCATTCTCATCAGAGCTTGCAAAGGAAGGGGCAAAAACACAATCTTTGGTCGCTTTCCAACACTTCTAAGGCCAAAAACAAAGGGAACACGACCACTAGACCCACTTTGGCCGTCGAATTGCGATAAAACGAAAAAAAAAAAAAAAAAAGACTCCACCACTTCACTTCCCCAGTGATTCCTTTTCAGCAGTCCAACAGGAATTGGCGGCACCACTGACATTGACACGGTCAAACCGAACGCGACAACACACGCCAATCAACTCACAAGACCACTCACCGATCACACTCGAACGCGACGAAAGCCACAAGGAACCGCGCAAGAGAAGGAGAACACGCCTCGCCGCGGCGTTCGAAACAAAAAGCAGAAAAGAGAGCGACGAGGAGGGAACGAAAACAAACACAAACTCGTCACCTGTAAGGCACGAGGTAGACCGACTCGCCGCGATCATCCTCGAAGCCGCCGCCGCTGCCGCCGTCGTCGGCGTCCCCGTAGAGGAGGAGGGAGCCGGAGCCGGAGCCGGAGCCGGAGCCGGGGTCGAGGTCGAAGAGGCGGTCGTCGGGGGCGAGGAGGTCGTCCATCCGGAGGGCGAAGAGGGAGGAGAGGAGGGACCGGAGGGGGCGGAGGAGGAGGCGGCGGAGGGAGGCGCGGGCGAGGCGGAGGGAGAGATCGCAGGCCGATCTGACGGCGGAAGACGATTGCAGCTTCGCCGCGAGATTGTGGAAACTGGTCATAGGCTCATGGCCCACGCAGCTACAAATCATCCATCACCGTGATGATTGTCATGGGAGTGTGCTCTCGCGTCGCCACAGGGCGAAAATTATATTAGACCACCTTCAATAATTAGGTCCTTCTCGTTGGGATTTATAAACATATATATTCACTAGAAGTCCTAAAATTTATTACGAAAATATAATTAAGTCCTAAAATTTATAAAAAATGCAATCGAATCTTAAAGCTTGTCGAATTGATTCAATCGAATCATAAAGTTAACTCCATCCAATTTGAATAACGAAAAATGCTGACGTGGCTTTTTTTATTATTTTTTTTATCATATGCGACGATGACGTAACTTTTTTATTATTATTTTAATATAATTAAATTTTAAAAATAAGTTAAATATTTATAATAAAAAAAGGAGGAGGAAAAAGCCCTCGCCTTCGCCCCGCCATCGCCGAGAGGGGCTAGCGAGGGTGGGAGTCCTTGAGCCCCAGGAAAAAACGACGTCATTTTAATTTTATGATTTATAACATCATCACGTAGAAAAGAAAAAATATTAAAATACGTTACATTAGCATTTTGTGTTAGTAAGTAAGACGGTATTAACTTTAGGACTCGATTGAATCAATTTGACAAGTTTTAGGGCTTGATTGTAATTTTTGCAAAATTTAAGACTCAATTGCACTTTAGTAACAAGTTTTAGGACTTCTAATGAATATATTCGTATAAATAAATAAGTTTGACACATTATTTACAACCTAATTCTCTAAAAAAACCCTCACCTTCAGATTTGATTCAAACTCTGCCCCATGTCCAAAAAATTGTCACTTATTTTCTCAAAACTATCAATAGTGGGAGGTTGCTGTTGTTCCATAAAAGGTGAAAATGTTAATGAAGACATAGGTTTTGTTAATGAACCTTTAGCTGACATTTATGTGAATAATTTTAAAGAAATTAGTGGTGATTTTTGAACGCAGAAACATATGTGGGATTATAGTGAAAATTTGTGATTTATTTTAAATAAAAAGAAAGTTTGAGACCCAAAATTAGGATTTCACCTAAAGTTGCGAGTTTTTTAGAGAGTAAAGCCCATTATTTATATAATAAATGATCATTTATAAAGAGAAGGACGGAAGTCAAAATGAATCTATTTGGAGAAAGTTTCGTACATATCAAAAAGATAAAAAGTGTGTAATCTCATGTCTTTATAGAATATTTCATTTAGTTGGAAATTTATCTAAGATCTTGCAATTTAGTAGAATTTGGAGTGAAGTCAATTTAATTCCAATCACTTAATCAAGATCTACGCAGCATACAAACTTTTTTCTAGAGAATACCGCTGTTAAGGCATAGACAATGAGATGTTGTGTCCTTTTCGTAATGAACTTTCACATCAATGGGTACGTGGGGAACTCAAAGTCACTAATGTTTTGTGTTATCGCACTTTGTAATTGAGACTTCGACTGGAATCCAGGTCATTTCTCGACGAATTACTAACCACTCTTTCAATCAAAGTACATTAGTTAAAGAAAATTCAAATTAGCGAATTTCGATGATTATGATTAATCTAACTTGGGAATTAATGATTAAATTTTGGTGGCAGTTGTTAAAACCCTAAACTAAGGCTCCGTTCGTTTGGCGGAAAATATTCTCTCGGAAAATATTTTTCGGGTTTTCCGGTGTTCGGGGGGCGGAAAACGTTTTCCGTGGGAAAATATTTTCCTTCCCCCCCTCACAAAATAGCCTAAGTCTACGGAAAATGACTTCCGCTTCTTCAAAAGCGGAAATCATTTTCCGGAGCTTCTTCTTCTTTTTCTTCACTAAGGTCGCCGGCCGCCGCCGGCCGCCGCCGCCGCCGCCGCCGCCGCTGGTCGCCACTAGCCGCCGCCGCTGGGTCGCCTGGCTGCTGCCGCCGGCCGCCGCCGCCGGACGTTGGCCGTCGTTTGCCCAGCCGGGCTGCCGCCGGACGCCGGACGTTGACCGTTGGTCGCCGGCCGCCGCTGCCTGCCGCCGGCCGGCCTGCTGGCCGCCGCCGCCATCGCCGCCGCCGCCGCCGGACGTTGGCCGTCGGTCGCCGGCCGCCCGCCGGACGTCGACGCGTTGACCGCTTGCCGCCGACCGCCGCCGCACGCCGCCACCCCGCCGGTTGCCGGCCGCCGGACGCGCCGCCGGCGAAAAATATTTTCCGAAACTTTTTCATATTGGTCGCTGAACACCGGAAAATTATGTTCCGGAAAAATATTTTCCAGGAAAATGACTTCCGGGAAAATATTTTCCAAAAGGAGAATATTTTCCGCCAAACGAACGGAGCCTAAAGTACGATGACCACAAATTGGACTGATATTTAAATAATAGTTTATCTCAAACTCGGACTCGCCGGAGAGAGAGAGAGAGATGAGTAGAGAAGACTGGTTTGGTCACGAGCGCGTCACGTGCTGGGGAAGTTCTACAGGGTTCGCGTCAAGTGGGACCGGGGGGCTCCAGCGCAGCGCTTTGGCGCTGCGGGTGGCTCCCTAACCGACACGTGGCGAACACGTGGGAGGGGGCGCGTTACGTGGGCCCTTCCTCTTTTGGGCTTGATTGGGCCTGGGATTTGAATGGGCCGGGCCAAGTCCCGATGGCGTCCGGCGTTTGAAGGCCGATCGAGATGCACGATGGTTGATGTACTTTCGAATCGAAATCGACAAAGATGTGCCCTTTAAGCACCAATTATGGCTCGCTAATTATGCGTTTAGATTGCGAAATTAATCCGTTTGAGCTAAGTAGCTTTCTTGCTATACGGTTTCTCAGGAGAGAAATCTACGGTTTTGTAAAACATTTTTTTTTACCTTCGGGATCGGATCTAGAACTTGTTTCTCGGTGAGGGCAAACTTAGGCTCTAATCTTAAGTTCTTAAGTTTTGCCAATTCGTGTAGATATTATAAGGTTTTTTTTTAACCTTGGAAAGTAAAGTTGATAAGTATAATGTTGAATATAACTTTGCTTGGGTAGCAACAAGCTCATTGTTTTCCTAATTATTCGGTCATTTGATGTGATTCTTGATGGTGGGGCAAATTGGTGCGGCCAAAATCGAAAGAATTTTTGAAAATCAATAAAATTTTAGTATTTTATGAAGGAGTTAGTGAGGTGGATCCAACCCTTCTCATTCCCATGTAATCTAAGAGTGCTTTTTAATGACAAAAAATCTAATTTTGAAAATTGAAAGAAGTGGAAATAAAAGAGTTGAAAAGTGGGGCCATGATTACTTCAAGCAGCATGTTAACCAATAATGGGACATCTAAAGGGTTTGAACGGGCTTGGGACACTCCTCATTGGCCGTTTGAAGGTTCGGTTTCAGGTATCAACGATATGTTAACTGTCCATTGAGTAAGCCCATCACTGTAGTCCCATCAGGTGCGAGTGAAGTTTGCTAAAACCGGCATTGTTCTTAAGCTTGGGTATGCCTTTCACAAATCATGTCCAGGAGTCGGACGACTCGCTCAATGTCGAGGTATTTTCCACTTGTCTTTGCACGAGCAAGCCTGCTCTCGATAAATCCTCGCTAACAAAAAAGACAAGGAAGATCGCATGGACTTTCTCTGCGTTGCCTTTGGTACCATTTTTTGTCAAGCAAATTGTTCGATTTCGGGACAAATCAACGTTTACAAAACAAGAAAGATCAACAACAACTTTGGATTCTTGTATAATAATGTTGTACCGTAGAAAAATCTCGAATCGATGCCATAGACTTGGCATAAGCCAACGCAAAGCCGCACGTTCCATTCGTGCCAGTAGCTGGCATGGACCTGCTCGTTGCTTCAGTCGACATCACATTTAAGTGATTTCTTTTGTTTTGTGGCTGCTCTTCAATCTTGTCCTTTTGCTATATAGCCTATGAATTTTCTTAGCTTTCACATCTCCCCTCAGAGCGCCATCCCATCACCATCACTGCCTCCAAACTTTGGCTCCAAGGGCGGGAGGCCGTGCAATTAAGGGGATAGACAGAATACTACTGTGGTTATATGCGAAAAATTTTAAAAAAAATTTCGTGCTAGTAAATTTCAGTAGGTGTTGAGTTGATAAGTATCTAAAAGTAGATCGTTAAAAAAAAGTCAGATGACCCTTTTTTTCGCTTAGGCTCCGTTCGTTTGGCGGAAAATATTTTCCTTTTGAAAAATATTTTTTCGAAAGTCATTTTCCCGGAACATAATTTTCCGGTGTTCGGCGATCAATATGAAAAAGTTTCGGAAAATATTTTTCGCCGGCGGCGACGGCGGCTAGCGGCGGCAACGCCAGTGGCGCCGGTGGCGGCGGCGGCGGCGGCGGCCGACGACCTTAGTGAAGAAGAAGAAGCAGCTCGGAAAATGATTTCCGCTTTTGAAGAAGCGGAAGTCATTTTCCATAAATAAGCTATTTTGTGAGGGGGGAAAGAAAATATTTTCCCACGGAAAATGTTTTCCGCCCCCGAACACCGGAAAATCCGGAAAATATTTTCCGGAAGAATATTTTCCGCCAAACGAACAGAGCCTTAAGGTATTGGTAACTCACCGATACTTTTACGAAACTTCCAACTCTTTGATAATAATTTGCAAATCAGCAATTTTTGTACTAACTTACCAAATTTTATTTTTAAGCCAAGCAAAGAATTTTATTAAGTTTTATTGCAATAACTTACATTCGATTTTACTAACTCTTGTAGGAAATTATCGACTTGAATTAGAATAAAATTTCAATATCGTTAAATTAAATTAACGAGTTGATTTTGAATTATCAACTCTCATTTGGGTTACTTATCGGCATTTACTCGTTCTTTCAATATTTACCAACTTTTCGATTGAGTTATCAATGTTTATTTGCCTTGATTAGCAACTCCTTACCGAAAAGATTGTTCTTATAAACCTAACTAAACGGCCCCTTAATGATCAGAAAATGGTTTCACTGGGCCTTGGAAAAGGCTTAATTGGGCTCAACAGAGTAACTGTAACTCTAATTCCCCTATCAAAGGAGCGCTTCTAAAATCTGCATTGCAATGGCATCTATGCATCGGTTTGCTTCAAGGTGGATGTGCTTCATCTTCTTCCGTGGGATAAATTGTTCCGTGAGTGTCCTGCAATC